TGTCCTGTTCTCTTGTACGCGCGCGAAACTTTATGCAGTCGCCGTCACGGCCGACGTGCAGAAGGGGGAACTGTTAAAATTCATGATGCGGTTCCATGGTGACCGCGAGTTTTAACGTTCAGGCCGACACTGCCCGCTGGATTGCAGCCGCTGGCGACGCCATTACGTGTCATTTCCACCGACCGATGTAAGCATCAGCCCGATGGGCCCTTTGGTGTCTGCTGTTGGTCTCTGTAGGGCTCTTCCTTCAAATATTTCGCGTGAAACTGCTAATTTCTTTCGTGTACCGAGTATTCTTTCGTAGATGGAGTATTAATATAAGAGGTTGCAAATTCTACGCTTTTTGTACTTACGATATGACCAGATTGGGTTAATACGTCGCACGTAATATGCCATTTTATACCACACAATTGCTATATCGACCACTTTTTTAAGAATTGTAAATCCTCATTTCTGTGGAATCGTCGGGAACGTACGTACGATATATTGAATGCAACAAGTCGATGTTAGAAGAAACTTAAGATCACAGTGTCTTCTTTTTTTTTTTTTTTTTTTTTTTTTTTAAGAAAATGCGTTGTATAGAAATGAATCTTTAAATATTCTATTTGTCACGTTGATATTTACGATGTTCTCTGGTTTATACATTTTGAAAAAACGCTGCGATAAATACAATCTTCGTCTTCGTAAGTAATACGAGAAACGGAAAGACATTACAAATGAATTAAAATTTCGTTTAGTTAATGATTTGTGATCTTTGCATGGCACTATAGAAGCAGTATAAATTCTCGCACAACGATTGATATCTGTCGGACACTGAGATTTTATTGCCGGAGGCGTATACGCAGGACGGTTTGTTTAGTCAGGACTACTATGCACCACTTGTTTTTCTTTTTTTATTATTTAAAAGAAATCTAATTTATTCAGTTTCTTCAGAGAGAGATTCTACTTTTCTTCCTTTTATATAAATGATGGAAAAAAATCTTTTATCCATGTAAAATTAAAGGAATTGTAAATGTTTGTTTCTCGTTGAAAGATCGATGAGTTTGAGCGACGTGTTCCTACGGATCGGAGAAGTGAAGGCTCGTAAATAAAGGTAATCACAGGAAACGGATTCTCGTTAAAAATCCGGCGTCGACGAAAATGGCCAAGAGCGCCGAAAGACCATTCTTTCTTTCGACACGACGCAATATTTCATTGAAAATTTATCGCACGCGCAGAGATGTCGATACTATGTGGCAATCATAAAGTCCGGCACGGAAATCGCGACAGTGGGACCGTTCTTCGTCGCTCTTCTGGAAAGTGACGTAATTCGTAGGAAGAAACTGCAATAACGCGATACACGTATGCAGACCTGGATATTCGCGAGACGACCTTATCGACGATGATTCACCTGATCATCCATCTTGTTTTCAGTGTGGGCACGCGATATTTTATTGGGAGGAAATCGGCCCTGCTGAAATAACGGCACAGGGAAAAATGAAAAAATTTCCCCTCGATTATAAATATTCCCGACTCCTGCATTAGGAATCGGCGTTCGCCTCTTTACGATACTGAAAAATTGAAAAAATTTGGAAGTTTGAAAATTTCAGATTTGAAAATGAATAAATTTTAGTTTCAGGTGAAAGGTCTCACGATCAGAATCTTCGGAATTTTTAACATCTACAGAACATTGAAAAGTTGATTTTAAGTCTTCGAAAAATTCTTTATTTCTCTATGGATAATAAGTGGATAATAAAATTCGCGTTTCAAGGAACTCATTGCTATCCGAAGAATTAGGAAACAACTTCGATTGTATTAACTTTTCATTGGTCAACGCAAATATCGGTCTTATCACGAAACCAAACTATCCGCATCGAGTCGCCAATGATTTTCTACACCCTTTCTCGGAACGTAGTTTTCTCACGACTCAATCACTATGTCGATGACGATCTCCTTTCAACGCTCGACCTACAGTCAGATATCGACCCTTTTTTGGTTATCACCTCGATCGATCATGGTTCAGAAAATTTCTGGAACATTACCTTCATAGTTATCCGATCTCTGCGCAAACGTATCATTGTTCCCATATAACAATGACCATTTATATTTTCTAGCAAACTATGAAAAAACCCGCTCAAACCATGAGAACATAAAAAAATTCCAAGCTTTACGAGCAAAGAAGTAGTAGGAATGAAGTATACATAATATAATATACGCAAATGTATCTATTTTGGAATCAATCATCCAATGTAAAAACCAGCGATTTGTTATTAACAACGGTCAATCATGAGCTGGAGAAGGCGCGATGAATGTGACGCGCGTTAATTCGTAATACCTTTCAACGCGAAGTAATACGCGAAACTTTCGATGACGTAACATAGGTACGTGCAACGGTGATCATTGTCGATTAGCATACGTCGCTGATTAATCCACCGGGCAACTGAGTTTGTCGTGGATGCTGGATACCGGATAGACCGGTTAACACGTGCAGCATTATGAAAAGGATGATTCGAAATGCTCCAAGTACAGTTGGAGCGAAGCTATCGTGAAGCGTGCTTCTGGTCAGCTGTGAATCAGGTACAAAGGACATGTTTTTTCCTCTGAAAATAATCCAGATCGCGAAGCGTGAAATAAAACTTCGCAGGCGGCGCGTTGACTCACCGTCGCAAGAACGCGTTTCCTCGTCCCTTTCTCGTCATCTCACGAAAGAATTACGATGTTTCATCGTACGGCAGCATTGTACTCGTTGCAACTATCTTTCGAAAGGTCAAAAAAGATTCGGTAAGGATGCTTAGGCTGTCCCAGATTACAGCAGGAGGATCATCCCTGAGATGACAGCCTAACGAATGACAGTGTAAACAGCGTGTCGACGAAAGTGTTAAAAGCGCTTGGCAGTTCGATTGCAGAAGCGGAATCCTGCTTATCCTAACTCGGCCGTTTAATAAGACACTAATCTTACGCAGCATGGTGTAAATCGTTAACAATAGTAGGATTATTACTGGAGAAAAATTGATTCGATCTGTAGTCATCGTGAAAAGTGATGCAATTTCTTATTTTTAAAAGGCACTAGCACATATATATAATTTTTCTATTAAGTTTAACAAGTTCTTCAGACAAAGCAATTTTGTTTGGGAGCAAAGGTAAGATCGAATCGTGTATGCTTGGTATAAAATGACATTTTTGGGACAAAAAAGTTGCCTTGGAAAGGGCTAGTCGAAATCTGATACGTTTGTACAACCAGGTTTCACATGGCGGTAGCCCATTGTAACATTCAACCAAGGCCAACGCAGTAACGTCAAAATTTGCATAAAAATCGTTGAATCCTTCCTTTGTTATTTAAAACTCGCCGAAGCCCTGAAATTTAGTCACCCACCGGTTTGTTAGATCAAAGAACAGGCCCCATCTTCATATATTCAACGAGATTTCGTATTATATATATTTATGGACGCTTATAGTGCATCTTTTCATGTATATATTACGCAACCACGTTGCTTTGATTCGCCCACACAAGCAAGAAACATTGCTAAAAATAACACCTTACGAGATAATCGAAAAACCCATCGTATCCTCTCTAAGTGCTTCAATCACTATTGTCAACAAACTCAGTGTATCCGCGAAAAATTCTTCAGACGAAGTCTCGAAGTTCGTCTATCGAAAATCATTCGAAGCTCGCTATGCATTCACCTTGATCCGCTGACACGGAATAGGTTGTATGTGTGTCGATCTACGATGAAATAGAGAGAAGGATCGATCGAAGGATCAGAAGGTTCATCTTTGACAGTGATTCGTCATTACGAAGCTCAGCGTACCTATTTTTACGCTTGAAATTAAAATCTGATTTTCTCTCTTACGAAATAATACATTTTTTCATGAGAGAAATACGTGACCTAGCTTTGCTATCAGCTATTATTTAGAGTAACCAAGTACCATAAACGAAGAAGTAATAACATCCAGTAGCTATCATCATAGTATAATATTCTCCTTTTAAGCGTGAAGGCATGAAAGCATTAGTTATTTACTGGATTGCATCAAGACAATTGACTCTGAGCAACGTATATGTCAGTAATAACGAAAGAGCTAAGTTAACTTGTTTCTTGAACCCTCTGCGGTGCCATTTGAAAACTTGCAAATTACATATGTATATAGCCATGCTCTTTAGGCCTTACATTATTAACAATTATTAACTCCTAGTCTTTAGATTCAAATAAGATGATTAAGCAATCCCAAATCTTTTTCTCATAGTTGTACAACATTCTATTTAACTAATTTAACGATCAGTTTGTGACACGTTGACATGAACTTTCTTACCTTACTACACTTACCATATCATGCCTAAAGGCAGTAAATTATTATTGCCAGAGTATTATATTCTACTGACTTTTGCTATTAAATCTCCACAACTTCTGCGGTTTTTACAATACGCACATGTATTTCAAAAATATCGGAATTCAATTATTTCGAATTATATATTAAAAGGATAAAACCGTCAAAGCGAGATTTCAGAATTTGAGAAAGGAAAATAAGAAAAATAATTATTCCCTATTGTCTATTCGTTTTATCAGCGTTATGCGTTTAGTAAATAATTTTCGTAAATTTCCAAATAGTTTCTTATTTTTTCCTGAAAAATTTGTAGCTTGTGTTCGCTCTTTAAATACACACAAATTACTATCTCTTTTTCATAATTTGGCACTGTAGAGAAATTAAGAAGCGAACAAAATCTAAATTTGATCAGTTTGACTTGCGAGTTCCTCATTTTTGACATGTATATATAGGACACAAAAAAGTAGTGAAATTCAAACCGTTGGACAGTAGTGTACGTGTAACACGGAAAGTGTTCCGATCTGGGCCAGTCCGCGTCACCCCACCCGGCATCCGGTAATCCGGCGGTTCGGTGTTAACCGATCTCTCGTCTCCCCCTCGATCACTATATCCCTGCGGCTCCATCTCCCTCGGTATTTGTTGCTCGGCCGCGCTTCTATCCGATCGGTAGGGTTTACTAAGAGAGCACGAATCCTCCGAAGGTTCAGTGCGAAACGCGCTCTCGAACTCGAAGGATCCTTCGAGCTTCCTTTGATCCCCCACCTCGGACGTCAACCGGACGAAAGACGGAAAGAGAGAGGCTTTCCTTGGCTACGAACAACGCAACATCTCGTAGACGCTGTTTTGTCGTCGCTGCTGCTGACTCTAACGCGGGAAACATCTCCATCGGCTCCTTCCCCGAAGAGTCCCCTCGATGAGCGACGATCTTGGGGCTCGAGCGTCGATCGTTTGGATTACAGTCGCGGACCGGATCTAACGGATCTCGGACGACACTGAACGCAACAGAGGACTGGAAAGTCAACGGGATGATCAACAGGACGTGCTTGGCGGTCCTCATTGGGCTGCTGGGTCTTGCTTGTGGCTTGCGTAAGTTTGATTTTATGTTATGTTTTTGAGGAAATTCACAGGGGTTGCTGGATACACGCGAGGCACTTAGAAATCAGACCGATCTACCTTTTTCCAAGTTTCTTAGTTTGAATAGCAGGATATGTAATTCGTGTTTAGTTCTTTAGAAATAAAAAGCTTAATATCCGTGTAGTTGATTAGTTTGATTTTTGTGTGGCTCATACGTGTAAATTCGAAGAGTGTTTTTAGAAATTCGTAGAGTAGGTACCGGTTGGCTTTTTGATTTAAAAATTTGCAATTTTTTTGTGGCATGTTACTACTTTCGTACAAAAATGTTCGATGATTATGGAAACATAAGTAAAAAAGCATTCTTCTATTTGATTAGTGGACCAAATAAAGAAATCGATATTTTCGGCAGTCCTATATTAATTTATTACTAATGTATGGACCGTAACTTGTTTAAATGCTACGAGAACAGATAATACTGAAAAATCTACGAGCAATTATACTTTAATGAGTATAGCTATACTTCAACTTAAAATTAATGAATGAAATATATCACAACATAGATTGATCCTTCACTCATTTTTTACTAAATTCATCGTTCATCTTGTATTAGTTGATTCAGTCTAAAGAAAGAAGTATGTGTCTGATGTGCTCCTTTCAAGACGCAGCCACCGTTGTCCGTGATTATGAATGAGAGCGATAAGTGGAAAGCACATAATGAAGTGTAACTGAAGTGTACACTGCTCTACGTAAATAACACGTATTATTCACACTATTCATTAAAATTTGCAGCGATTACTTACAAACTGTCTGCTCACAAAATTAATTGCTCTGCACATTACAAATGCATTTCCGTAGTCCCGATATTCCACAACAAGATTCGTTTCCCGTGTCTTGACATTTCAACCTATTCTCATCTAATTCTCATTTCTATTCTTTCTTTTTCTTTTTTTGTCTTTTTTTGTTTTCCAATAAGTTCATAAATTCCAAGTACACATTACCAAAACACTAACAGCATCACTTAATTACGAACATTTAAAGTAATTAAAAGAATCGTATGAAGACACCAAGGTTATGCCGAACGATTATGTTCAGAGCATTTCTTCGTCTCTAACATCTGCAGAACGGCGAGTTACCATTAATTCTCTCGTTAATTAAACCGATCGCCATGTAAGTACCTACAATGATTGTGCGGCATCTATCGTCGCTCCCTGATCTTCTTCTCATTTCACGCGATTTCGCGATCGTTTGATATATCGGGAACGCGTTGTCCTCTAAGGTTAGATTGCGCCATTCACAACTGGAGCAACGATCCGTACAAGGACGGTACACCATTTACGCTGTTAAATCCGGTCGATCTTCACTCGTAGCACGTGCAAGAAACTCCGAGGAACGGATTCCTCTGATGGGCGGTGCATACGTTACCCTATCTTTCAGACAATCGGTAAACATACTTTCGTTTTCGAACGTAGTCGACGATCACGCGATTTGAGAAAATAAAAACGATCCACCGTACTTTCTCCGCCCGATCACCATCTTATTGAATTGGCAAATTTTGTTAGGCAGTCTAATATAATCTCTGACCTTTCACTGATATTGATCGGTTAGATCTTCGTTTCGTGCGATAATATAATACATTAGAAATAGCTATATGAATATTGTAGATATCATATATATGTAGAAACGAAATAAAAGTTTGCAATCCTTGGAATCGTGAGACAAAAATTTTTTGCAGCATTCCTAATGCTTCGTATGAAATAAAAATTTTTGACGCTTAATACCGCAAAATAAAGATTTCCAATCCGTGGAATCACGAAATAAAAATTTATAACATTTCGTATCGTAAAATAATCGTAAAATAAAGATTTGCTACCATTTGTATTCTCCATTTATAAAACTTACAGAGATTTAAGAAGTGTGTACCAAGTTTAGGTGATCGACACTTTTCTATCCTTCTTCATCGTGAGAATGCTTTCCTCGTAGTCGCTATAACAAACCCGACATTAACTGCAGAATTTATTAATAGTAAATGTCGCTAGCTAATCCGCGAGTTGTTTTCTCGTGCGGAGCATCCTTTGCACGATTCTTCTTTTTCTCGTCGACGAGTCGCAAGGCTGCGTGGCTATGTAAACGACTATTATAGCAACGGTTGCATAGTGTACGCGAAGGATGATGTCAACGGTAACGTCCAATCAATGTACATAACAAACGCATCTCTCGAAGCTATTAATTTTTGGCTCGTTTATATTTTCCTATGCACGGTCACGGAAAATTACGGCTTGATCCCGTTAATTCTAGTTCGTCTTCTTTACAATGTAAGTCACCTCGAGCACGTTCGTTAATGGAATTGCAAACATGATATTAACAGATAAGCTCGTTGGTACTTTATTAGTATAATTTTGTGGTTTATCTCATAATGATCCAACACGTACAATTTATATCATTAATGATATAGGTTTATTATATATTAGCGTTATTATAATAATATAAATGATAATATGAATTTAATAAAATAAATAAATAAAATAATGATAAATTTAATATAAATAATATAATAATATAAATGATCAAACTGTTATATTTTTGACACTGGATTCATTAACTAAATTTAGTAGCAATATCGAGGCTTGAAAAAACTATATTGCTTCAAAATAATTTACATAAATTAGAGAAGAACATAGTCCCTTCATTTATTTTTCTTATTGCGCTATTTATTTCTTATGTAAAACAAAGCTATATTAATTTTTTATTTAAATATCATTGCGCATCAATAATCTTTTGTGTGATTGAATAATTGTTAAAATAGATGCTTAATCATTTTTTTAATCAATTTCAGAATGCCCGAAGCAAAAGCTATCACCAGGCAGAGAAGTAGTATGCTACACTTTCGTTTCCGACGTCGATCAGCTAACAGAGGCTGTGTGCAAATGCACCTCTTTGGTACAACAAGGCTACGACGTGCGAAATCTCTCGGTTTCCGGTAAGTCCCAGACATATTTCATTAGCGATATGATCGTCGATAATCGTATGCAGTTTCAAACTAATGCGTTAATTTTAACGTAAAATCACGGCCGTTTGAAAGACATGTCCCTTGATTCGCGATAATCGCGACGATCGAAGCTAGACGATTATGTCAGACGATTTCTTTATCGATATGAACAAAACAAAACGTGCAGAAGTCATCATAGTAACGTAATATATCCGGAAAGGAACATTCTTGGAAATGGATGTTTTAAAAATTTCAAACGATTAAGATTTTTCAAATTGATTAGTTTTAATCGTAAATCATAACGCAAATCGATAAATGTAATAAGATAGAATGTGCATACGATGAATTAGAAATTAACTAATTAAAGAGTACGTGTTATCTTAAACATTTATTCCGATCATATGAAAAGACCGCAATGTCGAAGGTAATTACAATCGTTAAGTGGTTTAACTTTGGTAGGAAAAACTTTCTAGAAAGGAAAACGAGGTAGTCTTAATAAAAGTGGCGTGGATGGAAATAAGATTCCCCTTAATGTCATGTCGAAACAGTGAGTAATAATTTTTTAACGTATTTTTCAGATTAAATATTTATCGATAAATACGCGTATCAAGCGTTTAACGGTGCATAATTCAAATGATTATACGTTCTGCGATTGCGTAAATGCATACCATCCATATAAATACATCTGTATCCTTGCACTTGCAACAGGATATCGAAATCCAACCACAACGGGAGGTATATTTTTACGTCTAGTGATATCGTCAGCGTTGAGAAATCAACTCTCGGTTTCCGTCATCAAAACTTGTGTAGATGCGTAATATATAATAATGATCCTTCTATGAATCTTACTCGTTTCAATATGAAATTCCTCATTTTTCAATCAGGATGACCAATTAACATATATTAGCTTGATTATTCGACGATAAGCAATAAGAATGATTTACATTGTTGTATAATTGACGGTCATCACATCGTTTCCTGTTATTTGAGACGCTAAAAGAGAATAGTTGCATGATTACACGTGCTCGCGTCGGCTATTTTTGGTGGATCCATGCCATCTTTATTATCACGATTAACGATCGCTTGTCATCGTTTTAATAAATGATTTAATACGAGTTCGTTAGCTCTTCGCAGTCGGCTACCACAGATTTCATCGATAACCATAGTAGTGATCGCTGAATATTTAGAAACAATGTTAAAAAAAATCGGGAATTGATATGCCAAATTTATGTACTCAAGACTTAATAAATGAATGTCAAAGATAGACGCGTTAAAGTCGAAAGGAAATTCTAATCGCAGAGGAAACAAAGTCAAAGACTTCTCTTGAACCGCATGGACAAAAGAATCTAGAAGGGAAAATCTGCTTTGTGTCGAAGTGCGTCTAGAATGTATAAAATCGAAGCAGAAACGTGTTTGACACGGGACGTTGCATTGCTAAAATATTCATACGAGACAATGCTCGATGAATATTCAAGCGTGAATAAACGATATTAATCCTCGACGAGTATCACACATTTTACACCCTTTTATTCGTGTCAAAAGTTAAGTCTCGAAGGTTCTAATATGCCAATTAATTCGCATCTTTGGATCAACAGAATCACAACGGAATGATTACATTACATAATCTCAACAAGCTTGTCACTTCGATCTTCTACTGTTTTCCAGGGACATTTACTTACTTAACAGAGGTGTCGAAATAGTTGCAACGTTTAATCGATTGCTTATCAATCATATAATTAACGACGCTCGAGGCTTTCAATTAAATCTCTCGAGTTCTTGTAAAAGTATTTTCACTTTTACGTACACCTGCGTTCAAAAGCATGAGTATACTTAAAATTTTCAGTGCAATTATCCAGTATAATTTTTATTTCATATGGAAGGTAAAATATTTATTAGATTATTTATCACGTATTTCCTCTGAAGTGATACGAATGAAATATGTAAAATTTAGTAATATTTATTATAGTTAAGCAATTACACCGTAATACTTTTTAACAGGGATATATCTTGTATCTTCGTACCCCTCGATCATCGTCGAATAATTTATATTTTTTCCCAATTAATTTCCCTATTAATTCTGGAATTTTATCAACAAGCATGTCACGTGGCTATATTCAACATTTCATTTAACTACATAATATGTTATACCATGAAGAAATACATCGGCATGAATTTTCTTTTTCCTTTCGGATATTTATCCATATGCAGTTCGACTTTTCGACTGGCACGCGTAATGAAGTCAATGCCATTGTTATTAAGTGGTTGCGACAGCGTTGTTTGTCCCCATAAATCTCGCCAACTTTTTGCAACCGTTAAACCTGCAAAAATCGTACGGCGTGCGAAGCACCGTTAAAGCACCATCTGTTGCGCAACACGAAAAACGCCCCGGTGAAAGAAGACGAAGAAGAAAAAAGGAAAGAGGCTGGTTTCGAAATTTCACCAAAATCAATTTGTTATGCATAACAGAGCGGTGGTCGGCTGACGACGGTATGTCACGCGTGAAATTCGATATTCGTCGTGCAGACCGCGGATCACGAGATCGAGAACGAGATGTGTAAAAGGAGAAAAAAAGAAAAATAAAGCGAAAAAAGGGAAGAAAAGAGGGGAAAAAACTGAAAGAAACTCAAAAAGGAACGAAAAGTTCGAGATGTGAGAAAGAGAGACGAGGACAGAAGTGTCTACACGAATCTCACGTTTGTGACATAATCGCGCGAAAACGAGCTGCGTGCTGATCCTCCTTTTTCTCTGGTTGGTGTACCCTTGCCATGAATGGTTGCGACCGACCCGCCTCGTTTCGTGGAAAAAAATATCTTTTTGATAACGACGGAGCCAGTTTCAATTAAACTCGAATGGCAGCAACGAATTGGAACGAGTTTTAATGCGAAACTTCGTTTCTTCGTTTTGTCTTCGGCCAGTGTGCTAATTGGTACGATTGCGTGTTTCGTGACAATATTTTTAGACACCGAAGGATTGACTTCTTGTCGATACAGGGTGTTCAAAAATAAGGATCAAGAATTTTAAGGGTATAACGAGAGGAGCAAAAGTGTTTAATTTACAAGAATTAACAGATTTTAGAACGTAAGGTCAATGTTTCAAGACTTTTGTTTTTTTTCCTAACATTGTACGTTCGTAGAAAAATTGAATCGCTTTCACTGTCTATGAATATAGATTCGTGACGCCATGCAAAAAAGAAAAAACTGTTCCTGCTATATGTGTTTGGATAAGTTTCGAAAAACGTCGCATGTCCATACCAAATTCGTGCATGGGTGTGGCTAATGAAACGCGAGGACAGTGGCGTTGAAAGTGGTTCTTATAGATGATCCAGATGTAACAAATATCACTTTCCCTCGAGCGCTGCTGAATCTTATTTTGCGTGTCAGCATCCGTTCTTGTTTCTTTAACATCTAGTCTCTTTCTTGTCTGACAAATATTCCAAAGAATAATAGGATATTTGCGAATCTTTTTTTAATTCAACGCTTTCACTCGTTTGTAAGAATGAATAACAATCAAGATACAATGTTCGTGTATCGATACAATTATCGTGTTTCATACGACTTAACCTGTTATGCGAGTATAATTACATGTTGTTAAAATTACTAAAAGGAATCCATCATCGGACTTGTAATTGATCTGCCTACGTATTACCAAATTTCGACTAAACCAGTTTCCATGTCCTCCTTTTTATACGTAATTTCAAAAAAAAAAAAAAAAGTTAATTGAAATTATATGTCGCCAAACTCTTACGCGACGTACTTTGGTAATTTTACTTTGGTACTTTGGTTTATTAACATCATTCCTGAATGTAATTTGTTTTTTAAATATTTATTATAATGTAATGTTTGAAGGTATATATGAAGTATCGATAAACGAGACATATCGAAGAATGATAAGAATCAAAATTTTAACTATAAGGATGCTATACCTTTACAAGGGAACTGGTAATAGGAAGTAATTTTTTACGGTCATGGCCAATTACAAAAATACGTGAAAGTTCGTGATTAACTATATTATGGAGACAGAGATTTCGTTTCACCTAACAGCATCGTGTCGTGCTGATTGTGCGACGAAATCGACAATCACGTGGAAAGGAAGGCGGAACTTCTAGCGGACAGTTCTTTTTATTTGTAAGCGTTACTATCGCAAAATCTGCCTCACAACTAAGCCACTTTTATGAAAGTATACCTTAGGAAATGTGAACTGTGAAATTCAAGCAACATAAGAAGACGACATGGTAATGGAATTGTAAAGAAACAAAAATCGATAGAAATGTAAAAAAAAGTTGCGAAAATAATTACTTGTTACGTTAAAAATTGGTCGTCATACCTTTTATTCTTTTCTCTCTTTTTCTTCTTTGCAACCATCTATACATTTTACGTATTTTTCAGGATTCGAAGATTTTCAGAAGTCGTTGAAGAAGATTATTCCAACGCTTCAGTTCGTGGTTTCCGTGGACGACCCTGGAAAAACACTAAGCACTTCCGGCACAGTTCGTCAAGAGATCACCGCTCGTTTGATCGGAGTTTTGAAAGAGGCAATTATTTATCCATACTATCCGTCAGTTTAACGATATTCTGCAGTTCCTCTCTAAAGAATTTTGATCGATTTCCACAGGTTGATGGAGTCGAGTTAAATATGACTGCAGGATCAAAGGAACGTTTGGTTCACTTTGTAAAGGGTTTGAAAGACGAATTGGTGAGAAAATCATACGATAAGAGAATATTCCTGGTTCTACCCACAAAATCAGAGGAACTGGCTAAACAATTCGATCTGAAAGAACTGACCAAGTGAGAACTTTTCTATTTCGTTTAATCAATTTATTTAACATTAACAAATATTTCTAAGAGAAGTAGATACTTAATATTTTGCATTAAATTATAGTTTGCTAGAACCAAACAAGAATCGATCCTTTTCAAGATTAGTTTCCCTTTCATGAATTTTAATAATTTCGATACTCTTTCTTTTACACAAGTAAATTCGTATATAAATAATCAACATATTACCTGTGTGCGTAAAATGTTTCATAAAACGTTATAGCGATCATCCATCAGAAAAAAATCTCATTACGGCAATAAATATACTTAAAGATGTAATCGCTATTCGCTACTTTTCTATAATTAAATATTATGACACTCTTCGACTTTCCATGCCTTCTGATCTTCTGTCACAATCATTACCTTTTGTGCGTCAAAGCGCGTTACAAAATCTCTGTACACGCCTAGGCCAGACCTGAGCTAGACACATTCTACGAATCATGTACCGGCTACATTTAAGTTCATGAATTATTGACCGACAAGTTAAGTGAAAACGGATTTAGTAAAAACTACTCATCCATGTTCGGTGTATCTGCCTAACCTTGTGCCAGTTGCCGGCTGGATAGGTTGTTAGGAATGCAGCGACGAGTCGATGCACCACTTGATCGTACGATTGTTCGCGGATTTTCACGCGCCTTGCAATTAACGGAATGGCCGTCAGACAGTCGTCGTACCGTTCGGTATTTTTTCATTGAATATGGATAAGGGATCAGGTGCAAGGAACGAGACGACCGTGAATGCGAATGAGATCGAAACGACGACGAAAGTCATCCGCGTTGATAAGATCGTGACACAGTGGGGACGTCAACGCGCGAAATGATCCGCTCTTTTATACGCGTTTTATTGCTAACTAGATTCTGAGACGAAAAGTCTTTTCTGTTTTGAAAAGTATCAAGCAAATGCTTTCTCTGATTTTTTATGGACTCTATGGCAATCATTTCTCTGTAATCTTTAACTCGTATAATTTCTTTTCGTATCTCTCGTGAAGTAATAATGGAACTTTGAGAGTTTAAGGGTAGAGCTTCGCACACGTATCTGTATTTGAAACAATATTCCTTAGAAAAGTGCAAAAAGAAAAAGGATCGACCGATTTGTTCATAGACCTATGACAAAATATTCAAATTACAGACCTAAATAAGTAAGCGAGTACATAAATGCTAGACAAACCATGCCCATAGTTCGCATATAATACACAGGATGTTTCATTGAATATGGATGACTTGAGAGTATTCGAAGCTGTTCTTGAAATATAAATGAGATCGCTCTCAATGTGTTCTCTAGCCGACACTTTGAGGCAATTGTAATCAGCTTATGAGACAAGCAGCACGTTCTATGGGATAATTATGTTGTTTCGAAACACGAATATGATTCATAGAATTTAATAAATCGAGTGGCGATTATTTATCTAATTTTTCCCTTTTGCTTTTTTGCTTTTACATCCGTAAACATATTGATGCAAATGACGATGAGAGTTCCGTGTTTTTCACTGACAGATACGTGGATCTGTTTACGGTCCCGACGCACTACTTGGTCGAAGATGACGAGGCCAATCACACTTTTCATCCGTCAAGATTGATAGGTCTCTTCGACATGTTTAACGCCGACAGTTTGATCGACTTAATCAGCGGTTTGGGCGCGCCTAAGAGAAAAATTCTGGTATCAGTACCAGCCTCTGCGTACAAGTTTACGCTAAAGGATCAGAACGATAATGCCCCAAGGGCGTCAACTGAGGAGATGCAACCTGTTACCATTGATCAGAAGCAGGTGTGACATCAATGATTGTTGCGAACAAATTTTCGACTGATAAATAGAACGTATGGAGATTATAATAACTGCGTACGATTAAATTTATCGGCTATTTTTTCAGTTGTGCGATTTGATGAACAACGGAGAATGGACGGTGGAAAGGGACGAAGATCTTACTGCTCCTTACGCTTTCAAAGATAAAATGTGGATTGCTTTCGAAGATAGAATATCTCTATCTATAAAAGTAGGGACTTCTCGCTTTTATTATTGAGTTTTGGTTTTGAGCATTTTGATAGATAGTTTTGAGACGAATTGTTCTTTTTCTTTTTTAAGGGAAAATATGTACTGCTTCGAGATCTTCCTGGATTGGCTGTGCATAACGTAGAGAATGACTTTAAAACTAATTGCGGGATGCCTCTTGCACACGAGGTTCATCGATCGTTCTCGAATTTCAAGAGGAAGTCGAGAGCCGCTGTTTTGAACGCTTTGGAAGATGATCTACACGTAAATAAATATATTTATAATAATTATACTATATATTATATTATATTTTATAATGTTAGTTAATGTTTATCGATTGAAGAATCAGATTGTTCATCAGTACGCCACCTTTTGGTGAAAGCTCAGATCACAGACTGATCTGTACTGATATGTACCAGTAGATGGCAACGTTATTTAAATTAATTTCAGTTTAGATCAAATTTCAAAATTAATAGAAGTAAATTGTTATTTCTGTATGCTTTATTAATAGTACACAATTAAGTATCAGTACTTCGTTCCTTTATTAGTACAAATGTTATAAAGTGTTCGATTAATTGTTAAATGATTTTTAATTTCAGCAAAAAGAGCTTGAGTACTCGACTAAAGTTAAGTCATCCGATTTTCGAGTTGTTCGCGTAGTAGACACCGAAGGACACATCAGAGTTGTTCGAGAAAACACGCAAACCGAATTTACTTGCTCTAGACAAGGATACTTCGTCCATCCTAAAAGTTGTAACAGGTATATCACTATCCGCAGCGAATTAATCATTGCTCGAATATTGTTTCGCTTCTTGTTATAATGGAAATGTCCTACTTGCTCCTATAGATTTTATCGATGTGTTAAATTCAACCAAGAAGTGGAAGATTACTCCGTATTCGAATTCGACTGTCCAGCAGGTTTATCATTCGACGAGCGTACAGAAGTTTGTGTTTGGCCAGGCTCCATGCCTGAGGGATCGCCATGTCCTGGAAGTAGCGAAATTGCGCCAGTAACTCGAATAAGGTTCGAATGTCCTTCCAAATCTGGCTACTATGCAGATCCCCAAAATCCCCGTTGGTTCTTCGCCTGCATCGACCTAGGTTTATATCTTGCGTTGAATAATTTTTCAATTCTGTTCGAAACATTTCATTAATTAAAAATTCTGATGACAGGAGGTCCTGAAATAATGGCTTACGAATTTCGTTGCCCGTTCGGCCTGATCTTTGACGAGCAAAAATTAATTTGCGAGTGGCCTTGGTTGGTAGCAGGCTACTCTGGTACCGGTTATACAAGATCAGAATATGACGGAGGGTATTATGGCACTGGAACTACTGCAGGTACTGGTGGATACTATACAGGAGCATTACCTCATGGTTACACGGGAACATCAGGAGGAGGAGGGTATACTGTTTCTACTGGGTCAGGATTTTCTGGGGCAGCTGGCGTTGGTCATGGATCGTCGTTTGGACAAGGAACAAAATATACTGGAAGTGGGAAAGAAAAGGGATACAGTGGAAGTGGACAAGGAGCAGGATACACTGGATCAGGTGTAGCTGGTCATGGAACTTCATATGATGGTCAAGGAGCTGGTGGTTACTCTGGAACAACTGGAAGTGGATATTCCGGAGCAACAGGAGCTGGTCATGGAACCATATATAGTGGTCAAGGTTCTGGTGGTTACTCTGGAACAACTGGAAGTGGATATTCCGGAGCAGCAGGAGCTGGTCATGGAACCACATATAGTGGTCAAGGTTCTGGTGGTTACTCTGGAACAACTGGACGTGAATATTCTGGAGCAGCAGGAATTGGTCATGGAATATCATCTACTAGTCAAGAAGCTGATGGTTACTCCGGGGCGGGAGTAGCTGGTCATGGAACCACATATATTGGTCAGGGTTCTGGTGGTTACTCTGGAACCACTGGAAGTGGATATTCCGGAGCAGCAGGAGCTGGTCATGGAACCACATATAGTGGTCAAGGTTCTGGTGGTTACTCTGGAACAACTGGACGTGAATATTCTGGAGCAGCAGGAATTGGTCATGGAATATCATCTACTAGTCAAGAAGCTGATGGTTACTCCGGGGCGGGAGTAGCTGGTCATGGAACCACATATAGTGGTCAAGGTTCTGGTGGTTACTCTGGAACCACTGGAAGTGGATACTCTAGAACAGGAGGTGCTGGTTATGGCACTAAATATACTGGTCAAGGATTTGGTGGACATTCTGGAACAACTGTAAGCGGATATTCTGGAACTGTAGGAGTTGGTCATGGGTCTACATATAGCGGTCAAGGGTCTGGTAGACATTCTGGAACAACTGGAGGCGAATACGCTGGAGCAGCAGAAGCTGACCATGGAACTCCATATACTGGACAAGGATTTACGGGAACAACTGGAAGTGGGTACTCCAGCGCAGGAGCAACTATAACATCTGGTCATGGATATTCCGGAACTGGCACGAGCTATACTGGATCGACTGGTAAGGCAGGTTATGGAGGATCAACTGGCACAGGATATTCAAGAGGAACTGGTACGGGTCAAGTATCTACTGGCACTGGATTTACTGGTGCAGGAATCATTGAACAAACAGAAAAAAGTGGAACAACTGGTACGGGCTATACTGGATCTACGTATTCTGCTGCTGGATCTACTGATGGAGGATATTCAGGAACAAAGAAAGGATCTATTAGTGGAGGGTATCCAGGAACAAAGAGTGGGTCTAATGGTGGAGGATATTCAGGCGCAACTGGAGGAACTACTGGAGGTTATGCAGGGCCAGGCGGTATTCATGGTGGATCTACTGGCGGAGGATTCGCGGGATCTACTGCTGGCGGATATACAGGAGCAGGAACAACTGGTGCTCATGCGGGATCTACTGGAGGATATGCAGGGCCAGGTGGTATTCATGGCGGATCTACTGGCGGAGGATACGCGGGATCTACTGCTGGCGGATATACAGGAGCAGGAACAACTGGTGCTCATGCGGGATCCACTGGAGGATATACAGGAACCTCAGGAGGTTACGGTGGAACTTCAATACCTGGTCAAACCATTACATTTGGTACTGGACAGTCACGAACACCAATTTTTGTTTCTTCTGGCACAACTGGAGCTGGAGTAGATCATGGTGTAACCAGTATATATTCACAGACTCGTAAGTTTATTCTATAAAACCATCTTATCTTTACTCAGATGAAATTAAAATATGTATATAATTTATTTTCATTTAACTTATAGCTGGGCCTATTATCGTGGAGAAACCTGAGAAACCAACCTGTCTCACGAACCTGTGTTATGGGTCTTCTCAACCATCAGGTGGTCAGACTCTGGTAACAGACGACTATGTTTCAAGCCACGGAGCTATTTCTGGAACAAATGTTTACCAAGGTACAACTGGATTCCCTGGAAGCTTGAATGTTACTTTTGGAAGCCACGTACCTTCCATTGGAGGCGTTACGTATCATGGAGGCGTCACACCCGCTGGTGGCTATACAGTGACAACAGGTACGGGTGCTATCGTGACAGGACACGGTATTCAAGGATCGATCATTACTGGAGATTCCACTCCAGGGACGCTCATTACCCATGGAGCTACCCCTGGCGCAATCTTCACAGGTTCTTCTGACCAAGGCACCATAATAAGTGGAGGAAGCCATCCAGGATATACGAAGACTGGTCTAAGTTCACCTGGCTATGTAATTAGTGGCGGAGTCAAGACCGTATTCCCAGGTTCAGTCAGTTCTGGAACGACAGTTTACGGAACACCTTCACCTGGTGTCATAGTAACTGGAACACCTTCACCTGGTGTCGTAGTAACTGGAACACCCTCACCTGGAACTATTATAAAGGGCCAATCGAGTCCTGGAATAATTCTTACAGGACAAACAGCTCCTGGTGTGGTATTCATGGCGGATCTACTGGCGGAGGATACGCGGGATCTACTGCTGGCGGATATACAGGAGCAGGAACAACTGGTGCTCATGCGGGATCTACTGGAGGATATGCAGGGCCAGGTGGTATTCATGGCGGATCTACTGGCGGAGGATACGCGGGATCTACTGCTGGCGGATATACAGGAGCAGGAACAACTGGTGCTCATGCGGGATCTACTGGAGGATATGCAGGGCCAGGTGGTATTCATGGCGGATCTACTGGCGGAGGATACGCGGGATCTACTGCTGGCGGATATACAGGAGCAGGAACAACTGGTGCTCATGCGGGATCTACTGGAGGATATGCAGGGCCAGGTGGTATTCATGGCGGATCTACTGGCGGAGGATACGCGGGATCTACTGCTGGCGGATATACAGGAGCAGGAACAACTGGTGCTCATGCGGGATCTACTGGAGGATATGCAGGGCCAGGTGGTATTCATGGCGGATCTACTGGCGGAGGATACGCGGGATCTACTGCTGGCGGATATACAGGAGCAGGAACAACTGGTGCTCATGCGGGATCTACTGGAGGATATGCAGGGCCAGGTGGTATTCATGGCGGATCTACTGGCGGAGGATACGCGGGATCTACTGCTGGCGGATATACAGGAGCAGGAACAACTGGTGCTCATGCGGGATCTACTGGAGGATATGCAGGGCCAGGTGGTATTCATGGCGGATCTACTGGCGGAGGATACGCGGGATCTACTGCTGGCGGATATACAGGAGCAGGAACAACTGGTGCTCATGCGGGATCCACTGGAGGATATACAGGAACCTCAGGAGGTTACGGTGGAACTTCAATACCTGGTCAAACCATTACATTTGGTACTGGACAGTCACGAACACCAATTTTTGTTTCTTCTGGCACAACTGGAGCTGGAGTAGATCATGGTGTAACCAGTATATATTCACAGACTCGTAAGTTTATTCTATAAAACCATCTTATCTTTACTCAGATGAAATTAAAATATGTATATAATTTATTTTCATTTAACTTATAGCTGGGCCTATTATCGTGGAGAAACCTGAGAAACCAACCTGTCTCACGAACCTGTGTTATGGGTCTTCTCAACCATCAGGTGGTCAGACTCTGGTAACAGACGACTATGTTTCAAGCCACGGAGCTATTTCTGGAACAAATGTTTACCAAGGTACAACTGGATTCCCTGGAAGCTTGAATGTTACTTTTGGAAGCCACGTACCTTCCATTGGAGGCGTTACGTATCATGGAGGCGTCACACCCGCTGGTGGCTATACAGTGACAACAGGTACGGGTGCTATCGTGACAGGACACGGTATTCAAGGATCGATCATTACTGGAGATTCCACTCCAGGGACGCTCATTACCCATGGAGCTACCCCTGGCGCAATCTTCACAGGTTCTTCTGACCAAGGCACCATAATAAGTGGAGGAAGCCATCCAGGATATACGAAGACTGGTCTAAGTTCACCTGGCTATGTAATTAGTGGCGGAGTCAAGACCGTATTCCCAGGTTCAGTCAGTTCTGGAACGACAGTTTACGGAACACCTTCACCTGGTGTCATAGTAACTGGAACACCTTCACCTGGTGTCGTAGTAACTGGAACACCCTCACCTGGAACTATTATAAAGGGCCAATCGAGTCCTGGAATAATTCTTACAGGACAAACAGCTCCTGGTGTGTCTATTGGGGGATCTATTGTGCCAGGAACAGTCATTGGTTCAGGTTTTACAACGCATCCAGGGGCTGTTACCCCAGGATCTCCATTTGGAACTAAGATTGGAACCACGCCATCGACTTATGTCACCGGCTACAAAACTAACGAATACCATGACAACGGAGGGCGTGGTACCATTAGATTTAACAATGGCGATGTGACCACCAAATATACAGAAAATGATATTCCAGACTATAGACCAACTGGCGGCAATATTTTGCCAGATACTCTCATTCCAGGAAGCAAAGGTATTCCCGGTGTATCGCTATCTAGTGGCTTCACTAAGACTGGACCTACCAAGACAGGCTTTACCACTGCTACTTTAGGTGCTGGTGGTAGTTACGTAATTAGCACTGGAAAAACTAACCCCCCACCTAATCCCGACCATATTGGCGCCAAAGCATTCGAAGGCAACGTGGCAGGATATCCAAAATCATCTACCGAAAGCAGTGCCAAGACTTATTCAGGAACATTCTCAACTTATGGTCCAGGCTTCAGTCAGAAACCTTCGAAGGGCACTGGATATTCCTATCCCACACCTAGCATTCCATTTGATACAGGAGTGACGAAGAATTTGCCTATTTCTTCGACAGAGAGTGGCATCTTTAGTGGAACTACTCCAACGCCGTTCTTGAAGGTTGAAGTGCATAATACACCAAAATTCGGTGAGGCCGGATTCACCAGTTCACCTGCAGTTGTGAATACGTATCAGAAACCAAGTGGCTTTACGCGTGCACCATCTCCAACTGGAACACCTGTCCTTTATACCACTGGTCCATTGGAAAATTACAAGACGACTGTCTTTGAAGCGGCTAAAGTTCCAGTTACCATCTCTACTATTCACCCAGTGATCGATACCGGATACCAGACTGTCATATCGTCGACGCCATTGCCTGTAACTATAAGTCAAGATAAATTTAGCATTCAGACCAAACCTCAGTTTGGTTTTGGAACAAAGACTTCTCAACCTGGTATATTCGGAGATCGAGGTTACGTTTCTAGCACGACACCAACGACTGTACTTAAAATATCATCGAAGTATCCTTCTGGAGAACCACAGGTATGATTCTTTACAATTTTCGTACATAAAAATGCAATTCTCTTGTTGTATGATTTATTGTAATTCTACGGATGGAATTTTTTAGTATGATTATGGACCTACCACTCCATCATCTGGTTCTGGATACTTTACAACTTCGAAGAACGTGTTTGAACATGTAACACCGTCTGGAATCTCAGAGTCACCGAAACCACAGGTGAGATTTTAAGAATAATTATACTAAATCACTGATTACTAATTATCAATATTTACTAAAAAAATATTTCCATTTCAGACTCAGTACATACCTGGCGAATCTATTTCGCCAGCCATTGGAGTAACTTACAGAAAGCCATTCCCATTACCTGGCGTCACTTATCAACAAGAATTCACACCAGCATCTGCCAAATCGTACACCACTGCTCCATCGGGCATAGGATCAGGTCCCGGCTACAAAGGATCGCCTACGAACATAGCAATTCCCAGAGATGAAGTCGGAAAGCTCGTTACCAATTACAACAGAGGCACCACGAAATATGTTCCAAGCCAATACGACGTTTACACAACAGGATCCGCAGCAGGAGTCGATTACTACCAGTCCCAGACGAAGTTCAAACAGGGTTATGATTCATCGACACCATCCTCGGTTCCTAGAACACAGTCACCTCTCACAGTGACGACTTACTCCGGAGGATATTCGAAACCATCTTCAGGTATCACGTATCAGACCACTGCGAAGTCTACAGCCGTAGGTAAACCTAAAGTGATCGTGAAGTGGAGCGATCTGCACCCTCTTCTCCTTGGAAAATTAGGAGCAGAGTGTACCTGCAGAGGAGATCCTTTCGCTAATCTCAGAGGTCCTGGCTCCAAGTTGATCAACTCGTCAAAGGGCAAAGTGGACTTGTCTAATTATGACGAGTCGGAGATTTATGTAGATCTTGAGAAGGAAGGATCCTACGAAGATCAAGATTACCAAGTGACCAACTACGAATCGTCTTCGAAACAACCAGTTAAGATCTATAATGAACTTTCGAAAGCTCTAGGAACTACGAGCATTCAAGTTCAAGAAAAGCCATCGTCCACGTACTTACCAAGCGTTACTCCTTCCGTGGGAGTAGGAGGTCGCACTTCGAGCCTTTCAAGTCATGGATTAACTGCCAATTTCAGATCTGGAAAGAGTCTGAGCAACGTTGGATCTCCTATCAACTCGATTGGAGGTGGTAAAGGTTTAGCTTCCACTGTGGATCATTCTGTCATTGGTCCTATCGATGGTTCTGTCAATAGTCCTACCGACGATTCTATCGATGGTCCAATCGATCGTTCTGGAGAGTATGAGGATAGTGTATCAGAAGAAATCATCGATGGAGCTACCAATTGCGCCAGACCAGGTCTGTTCAGACACCCTAACTTCTGCAACAAGTTCTATGCCTGCCATTGGGACGAGTGGAAGAAGAAGTTCACGCTTCACACATTCAACTGCCCCGTCCATTTAACCTTTGACAATGGCGCGGGTGCTTGCAACTGGCCTAGTATGGGCCCCGCTTGTCAAGACAATAACTTGTTAGTTTAGATGGTTCACTGTTGATGAGGAGGTCTTATGGATCTCGCATACCGCGGACTTCTCGTGACACCTTCCTTTTTGAAAAACTGGAGATGGAAATTTGAACGCAGAGAGTTCTTATTATAAAAGTTTCTGAAAGAAGATAATTCTATGAATTTTGTAAAATTTTTTATATAATCTTAGATTAATTTGCTATGTTTGAATTTTATACAATCGTTAAATATTTATTAATCTTCTGATGTAATTCTAGATTTCTATTACGTTTTATACAACAATAATTATTTTATAGAGCATCGTAGATTGCAATTATCAGTGTACACACTTTCAGCATTATTTGTAGAATATTAGTCACACTAAAGTAATAACACGAAGTTTAAAAATATTATTTTAATGGTTGAACGTTCAAGTTATGTGGCAAAGCATACAGAGCATGTGAGGTAACATTTAATTATAACGTAGTAACGGTATACGCTCAGTTTCTTTTTAAACTGAAAGACGTGAAACGAGCATAAGAGAATGCTTTTCCCGAGGTAACGAGAATGGAGACAAGGAGGAAGAAAGATCCAAGGCGATCGAGGTGCCGCGATGCGAAAGCACACTGTCCAGAGTGAAAGTCAAGCTGCACTCGCCGATTCGAATCGCGCGAAAGAAGTCGATAATGTGTGCGATTCCATGTCCAAGACGAATTATTGTATATAACGTGCCCTACTCTTCCAAATTTGTAAATAACGACGAATTACCTTTAAAAAGAAGAAGATATGGAAAAAGTTTAAAAAGTTACAGAAAAGAAATTTTGTTTAAATAAGACGAAAGAAAAATGTGAAATTCAAACTAACGAAGCAAAAAATTGGTTCCAAAAAAATGACGAAGAGATATTTCCAATCAATTGATATTATCGTTTCTGTTGATCGTCGTTGACCTGTTGCTTTGATCAAATTTTCTTTCTTTTTTTATAATTGTGTCATTGACGATTTATATTTGTATATATATATATTTTAGATATCGATAACGCGATTTGCATAATTGACGTATCCCTTGAATTCCTTCACTTTCTTTTCCGGATATTTCGTGCTTCCTGTTTAATACAGGGAAGTTAATTTTGAATATTCTTTGTGCACTGCTTAAGCTTGCCTTGATTCTGTGTTCATCTCGTTCCTATCTCTATTTACTATTTTTCCGCTTCTTCCCGATGCAATTATTATTTATTTGTCGCTTGTTACTATTGTACTAGAAGTTAAGGGTATATTACGACAAAAATCCTTGAGCGATCAAAGATCGTTTCTCTGCGTCGATAAGAATTTCTTTTTATCATCTGTCTTGCACACTTAAATCGGAGCTTCGATAATCGTGCCATTTTATCGTGGTTGTCTAATGTAATATTACGAACTTAGAATAAATATGATAATTGTACAAAATATGATAGAAAATAATTTCAAACTAAATTTTTCCTGGATCCAACCATTTTCCGGATCTACTTTCCTTTTATCTTTTAACTATCGTTGCACCTATATTCTAATTCATTACGTTATTAAATAAGAAAAAGAACGCGTTTGTCATTTGTTGATATGGCCTGAGGCTAAACTTTCGTTTATTTCATATACGAGAGGTGTGGTCACCTTCCACTTAAAAATGAAAACGTTCACAGTGACCTTTCGAATGAAATTTTCCATAAAAATTAGTTATATGACAACTTTTAAATGAATTGAATTATCATATTATTTACATTCTTCGTAGCTAATTACTTTTGCAATCGATAGTCTTGCCATGATCTTATTACACACTTTTAAAAAATCAGACGTGATAATCCTTGATGATGAAACATTTGCAATAATTAAGCGCAGCAACACTGTATCCTATAACCTAGGTAGATGGAAAATTATGTCAACCAGACAGCCATAATTCATACTCGACGAAGGGCATTGAGTAGATAGATAATAATGAATTCTATGCCGGATTATCCTTTCTCTTTCTCTTTGATTAAATTAGGAAAGTCTTTTAAGGAACGTGGGAGGTCAGTAGTCATGGCAGAAGTGGCTTAATTCGTTCACAAAGTTCAACGTGTGACTCTAATTGATAGTTTCAATAGATGACTCGTTAGCATAGAAAGCAGTTTGCTAAATGAAAAAAGAATGTGGCCATAAAATCCAGTTTCTCTGCGTTAGCCGCAATTGACGCGATGATGAACTACGATCACACCTGGTTGCATGATTTTCACCACTTATACCGATTCACCTTTTCAGTGTTTAATGGCCAGATCAACATCAAATTTCCAGTTTATGAGAGAAATCAAGCACGATGGAAATATCTTGTGATATACACGATTATATCTATCGATCTATTTTTCTCCACAATTAATCAGAGAGAATAGCGAGAATTGTGCGATGATTCTGACGTGTAAAATTCTACCATTTATTGTGCGGTTGAGAAAGTGAAAGTATAAAATAACTGAATTATAATTGTAAGGCAATTATACATATTTGTACGTAATTAAATAATTATCGTATCATGCGCGAGCGAATATATCATTCTACGGAATTATACGAATGTAATATTGTTCTCTTCAGAGATTGATATTCGAGTCGATCTTTGTAACTTTAAAGATGTCCCATTTCCCATAAAAAGAAATGGAGAGTTCGTGGAGGAGGAGGAATGAAAATGGAGGTCAGTGGAAGTAAACTCTATCTCAAGTGACCCACTGATACATTTCCATCGGCTTCATAAGTGGGTAGCGCGGCATACAAACACATTAATTTCATTTTATTCCTTATTTGTGATACAATTGTTTAAAAAATGCAAAAAAATATTCGCCTTTCTCCACAGAGAATTTTTTCTTTTATTAATTTCTTCTATTTCGTCGAATTCAAATTCTTAGTAAATTATATTTACGTAATAGCAGTGATTAGTGGGTGTCAGATAGCGTGTTTGTTATATAACAAAAATGTCGTTATGGAGAACAAAAGAAAGAAAGTTTTTGAAAAGGAAGAAGGAGAGCACGAAATGCTTATAATTTGTAGAATTTCCTTTAACAACGAGCTCCCATATGAGCTACTAGCTACGTGATCACCATAATCATAACTTCATGCTTTCGGGTCCTTTCTATGTAATTCATGGATTGCGCAAAACTTGCACATTCTCTCAGAGAAAGAGCAGTTGTTTGACGAGATATGGCGAAGTATAATATTCTTTCGACATATTTGTCAACCACGTAATATTAATGAATTAGCATGACCAATGCTTGATCACCTCACTATGTCGAGAATTTATAATTTTATTCTTATTTCTGTAAAACTTTAACAGTATAACTGCAGTTCTTTGGTAACATTTGTTAGAATTAAAGCAATTTATTAAAAAAAAAAAAAAAGGAAAGTTATGTGGTTATAAGTAACGTGGTTATAAATTCCTGTATTTCTATATTCCACGTTATATTCTACATGTGTTAAGACTTCGAGAATTGAGAAATTTATTAATTTCTGTCATAGAATGTAGTAAGATTATACGTATCATATGTTTGAAGGCAATAATGATCGCGACCAGGTTGTTTTCAAGAATCGGGAGTACTTTCAAAAACGTGTAGAACCAGTATACGCAACGTGGAACCGAGGAATACGTAGTTTGAAAGGAATACCTAACTAATAAACCAAATAACGCGAACCGAAAGCCAAAGTGAAAGTTATTTTTAATGACACACAGAAATCGATATATCGTGGGCGCTGGAACTTTATTCTGATGGAAGATTAGCCACGCCAATTCTTGCATAAATTTCCATACGATTTTAAATAGGAAAATGTTTCAAGACTAGCTGTCCAGTGGTATGGAATAAATTATTCGCTAATTGCATAGGCGCACATACAAGAATGGGATTGAATAACCGATGTTCACGGAATTGAAGTACCGATTTACAATGGCGTCGAGGAAGTGAGCGAGTTGCTGGAATTCAAACGACGTTACTGTATGTCAGAAGAGGAAATTCATTTCTATTCGCGTTCAGTTTGCCTATAGAATTTTCTAAGTAATTAAGAATGAGCAACGAATCTCGTGCATAATTGAGATAATGCATACTAAACAAACGTTACCTCTAAATTGAAATATCGCTTGCAAGCCCAGGAACACGGTCGACCGAAGAAGAAATTTACTTATTGATTATGTACACCAGTTTGAAACCAAGACGGGTCGAATAACTATGCACTTTTTTTGTATCAAATGTCATCCATTGTATACTGCAGTCCAATAATTTTTATAATAATATAATTACTGTGATAATAGGCGTATGTAAATATTAAAAAATACTGGTATTACACTTGATTAAAAAAAAAGTGTGGAAATTAAAACGAACTAAAAATTTTAGCATTTCTAATTTTCTAATATTTCTCTCTTTGTATTATTTAATATTTTTTTTAATTAAGGCTAACACCATAGTAATAAACGCCAGATTTCCATCTCCAGGTCTACTTAACTTCGTATCGGAAAGCTTGCCAAACCAGCCTTCCAGTAATCCGATTGTTACTATCTACGCTCGGTTGTCCCTAACTGAAGTTAGCAGAGAGTGAGAAAGAGAGAGGTGGGGACTTAAGATCGAAGCACTTGACACGAGGAAAAGAAAGGAACGAGACGTGAGAGCACAGATATTGGAGGTGGCGTCAAGACCAAACTGTCCGGGCTCCAAGGTAATATAAAGGCGTACGTCGACTTCACCTGGTTCAACTTACCTGGAACATCGAACAGCTGCGTTGCCCAGCACGATTGAGAACGTTCGCCACTGCCACACCACTTTCTACCATCATGTGAGTCCCTTTAAGTGCTCGCTTTTTAAACCGCTTCTATTTCCTTAATATTGTATATTTATTAAATTAAAATTTTGTTGATATTTTTGATCGATTAGCAACGTGGATGTTTTCTGAATAATTTATATTCAGTTATTTATGCAATTCTATTTCTAATTGATCGAATAACTGGATAGTAAATTTGTAGTTGTAGAATTTGAATATCTTGATTAATATACCTTTTTTTCTTTTTTTTTTATATTATACTAGTATACCGATGACGAAGGATTTATTAAGAAAACCTAAAAGGGACTTTGAAGAAGCTAATTTTTCGATTCGATAAAATTCCTGTAATTTTTAGTTTGATATTCCTTTAACTGTTCTATAATAAATCTGTTGTTTTAAATGATAAATCTTAGTATTTAATGCTGTTACTTAAATTTGGAATGTTTCAAAATTTAAGCCAAGAATCATTCTTTTGAGTTGCTTGAATATTTAATTTAAGAGCAATCACAAGTTTAAAAATGTATTTCAATATTTAAGTACTTATTCATATATAATATCCATTTGTAGTCGATATATATAGCATTTTTAATTTAATATAAAGATTCGAATAGTCCCGACTGTCTTTAAAAAAATAGTTTATCAAAGTTATAATGCAATAAGACGACAATAATGACGATGAATATACCTTACTCTAGAAATAAGAATAATTTACATGTCGTTAGCGTATTTGATTTTATGCGTCGAAGTCGTATTTCAACCTTTTAACTAATGAGATGATTGTTAATATTTTTCGTTTTCGTTTATTGGAATGAACACTGACACAAGATGAGTGAAGTACGTCAAGAAGATCATTCCGCATTCAGCCGTACATACATTATCTCTTTAATTTAGACTCCGTTATAAATGGATCACGTTGCATATTATATTATGATGTATGCAGATCCGTTACATAAGATGAGCAACATTACGTCCTAACACGATTTCAAGATTTACATAAATCATAAGTCTTCGTATTGCTTTGCATTGCATTGCAATTGTTACATTTAAACGTTGCAGCATTTAAACGTTCTATAGAGAACTTGAGAGAAAAAGGAAATAATAATAAGAAATAATAAAGTAGTTCACCTATAAAATTATGTAAAATATTAGCGACCTAGAACAAGAGTATAAAATAGTATCTGAAAAAAATTCTTCTGTAGCAAAATTTCAATACCCAAGTAATTATCTCCTCAATTATTCGCACAAGTTTACAGCTGTAGGTATTGTTCAATCATCGTGTTCCCAAATACGTAAACACCTAAATGGTTTCTACGTAAAGAATTGATCGAAATCGTTTCTGCGAACTGCAATAAAATTCCGTAACGTAATATCGATAATCACGTAACAATAGTCTGGTATAATATATTTTCATAAAATGGGCAAAATTGAGTCAGAGAATTCAATATGCACGAACAAATTGTCTTTTCATATAAACTTAATATGGAATATATTATTAAATTATTTATACATATAGATTGTTAATAAACAGATCGTTAATTAAATCTCTTATAAAAGTTGAGTTGTGCGAATTGATTTCTCTGGTTTCATACGATTCTTATAGATGCAATGTATTAGCGTAATTGTTAAAATATATCATGAAGTCACGAATTGTCTCGTTTATTGTTATTCCGGTTAACGTGGGCGACAGAAACGTGTCGCACGTGAGATCCTCGCCTTGAAGCCCGTGAAAGTGAAAGGATTTCTGATTTTATCTTGCACAAGTAAATGCGATTCAGGGGTTAAAAGTGCATTGCGATCGTTGTGTACGCTCTAAACCATGTAGTTTATTTTTATCCTTTATCTAGACTTATTATTAACGTGTTCGAGCTAATTGAGAAATACTCCAGCATTACTTTCCAATTATGATAACTTAGATAACGTGTTGTTTTTCTTTGCATATTAATTAATACGAAACATTATTCTTAAAGAATCGTACAATTATCATGTTTGTTAGTCTTGTGATCTCGGTAACTTAACAAAGTTAAAATGTTACTAATTAAACCACAGCTATAAACATTTGTATCCGAGAGAAGACTGAATTTATATTTTAGGAATTTTGGAAAAAGGAGCCTTAATAATAAATATTTAATATTGAATTCACTTGTATAATACAGTGACTTAATAATTTATTGAAAGAAATTACCAAATAGTCTGAGACATTATACGTCTATGGTAATGACAAAAATACAGGTGTCATTAGTTGAACGAAAGATTAAACGAAGATAATAATGTTGGTTTAATTTCGTGCTTAAATGTAGGATAATGAATATTTAAATGATGAATATTTGGAGCAGTCCAGACTATTGAAAATCAAACAAGAAACGGTAGAATAAAAGAGAATTAAAGATAATGTTGATATAACGAAGCTGCAAAACACGACTTTCTCTCGATACAAAGTAGAAAGTTCAATGCGATTGGCGTGGTAGATTGCGCTTGACAAAATGAATGCTTCTTTTTACTTTCGTCGCACGAGTTATGCGATTAATAGAGCGAGACCAGAAGCTGTGGTAAATTTTCCGCTCGATTTAATAAATCACCATCATACAAAATTACTATACGCTAACATCACAATATTCTATTTCCCACGCTCCATTATAATTCTAATAGAAACTACCTAAATAAATTGTGCGCTTAAAAAATTCTGACCTGATTAACATTCTACGGACGTTGCTTTTGTCTCTGATATTATTTAATATCAAGAGTCTAATAAATCCCATTCAACTTTGTTTGCTCCAAATATGAGTTCTCGGAATTTCGCTGGGAATAATATCTGGTGCAAGGCAAAAAGTAACGATTTCACTAAAGAGATAACCGAAACCGGTACGCCCGAAAACGAAAGCAGTCGGAGATACGGAATGATCAAGTGAAATAAGAATAAAAAAAGAAAAATGAAGAAGGTGAAAAAGGTGAAGCGAGCGGAGAAGTAGCCGTGAGCAGTGAAAGTCACAAATCGGGTTGAACTTTGCCGAGAATGGTCAGGTTGGTTATTTAATGCGAGCCAAACGAAACAAAAAAGAAAAAGAAAATAAACGAGACGAAATTATAAAAATCCTCGAACGCCCACTTGAACTCTTACGCAAGAACGAATCGTTGGTTTATTTTTCAACTGTAACGATATTAGCGCGCGACTTCCATAATTACTTTTCAGCTTCCCTTTCTTTTCAACTTGAAAGTTTTCATGAAATATTGCGAATAATTTGACGAGATTCGAAGATGTCAATGTTCAAAGATACTAATTTTTTCGATTTTGTTTGATCTTTTCTTTAATGACTCTATGTCTAATCTAGTTTATGTAACTGGATAATCAATGGAAAATTTTAATAGTCTACATCATTATACATAGCAATTAGCTGTGATGAGTCACTAAGATACGTTTTATCGATTAAATAGATCCTTCCACTACATTGAAATAATTAATTCGTATTTTTTTAACAAACAATGATTTCTTAGTCTACTTATTTTCTTTTACCTTCGAGTTTTTATTATTATCAACGTTATGCGGTATTGCATTTGTTATAACGAGTGAGTCATAAATAGATAACATTTTTACTGAATTTGTTACGAACTACGAAAGTTCCCATTTCTTTGGTTTGTCTTGGTCGCAATTCCTATCTCATACTTATTGTTAGCCATTACTATATTACATATCATATATCCCCCTCCTTGGTGAGTCATAAATAATTATCTATAATTGCATTGAATGCATTGAAACACGGTGAAGTATTGTCATTAGTCTGCAAGCTGTTCATGGATATGGAAAATAAAATGTAATTGGGTCGCGACGTTAATGTGAACACTTATAATTTTATAAAAAATTCTGTTGTAGGGTGGTGTGGTTGGTGATGTTCCTAGCAGTCTCCATCCTGACGGAGGCAGCCATACCGGATCCACCAACTTCCGGTATCACGACCGTCGGCTCGTTAAAAATAGGAATAGCTGCTGATTGTGCTGGTGTTGTTGCTTTCTCGGCTACCCAGGCTTCTGTCGATGTGAGTCTAATTTTTAAACGAGTTTCAAATAAAAGTACGGTCCGGATATATCAACGCAATAAATATAGAAGCTTTCGTAGAATTTTAAATGACAGCAGAATTAACTGAACTATTTGGAGAACTTCAATGGAATGTTGAAACAACATTCGTCTAAATTAAAATGAAATTTCGCAGTTTCTAATTTACGTAATAACTTGTACCAATATACACTTGTCAACTTATCACTGTGTCAACATTTATACTTGAGTTATAGCAATTTGAACGAAAAATTAAAAGCTGTCGCGAATTATTCACAATGTTTATAAAATGTAATAACGTTTAAGGATAGTAATTCTTGAAATATTATCTCATCCATTAGCATGCCAAAGCCGTATTCGCCGAGACATTGGTCGACAAAGGCGTGGGTTACGTCGCCCAAACAGGAGTTTTCATCACCCATTGCCCGGGCTTGTATCAGTTCAGCTTCGCCGGATATGGCAGCACCGACCTTCGGCTCACTCTGAAAAAGAAACTGAATAATTCCGATAGCTGGAGACCCGTGGTCAGCACTGGTGCAGGAGGTGGTGCTAATTTGGTCTTACTGGACGTCGAAGCTGGAGATCATCTCGCTGTTTTCGTCGATGCAGGAAAAATATCGGATGGCGTCACGTTCTCCGGATACCGAATAGCCAAAAAATAATCGGCCAGAATTCAGATAATTCAACCACGAAACGACAATCGTTTCCTGAAGTAGACAATTTGAAAAGTTCGGAATTATCGATATGAATCCAGTCAAGAGGAAACTGAACCAAATTTCTAGCAAATCAGTGGCAGATTACAACGACGACGTGGAACTGTTCATCCAAAAGACGCTGCTTCGACAATCAGCAGATAAATTGAAATACTCCGAAGTTAATTATTAATATCTTTGGAAGAATTTGAAATCGATCTGATACTAAAAAGTACAAAATCGAGACTCGTAGATGAATTGGATGATAAATTTGATGAATTAGAACTAAAAGTTTGAATTCGTTACGCTTTTCTAAATGATGAAATTTTGGATTTGACGGCGTTCCTAATTGGGAAACGTTCAATCAGAGCGGTTTTAATCTTCTCCACGAACTTAACGCTCTGTGATAGCTTCTTCTCTACGTCTCTACTTTTCGAGGTCTCGCAATTTTACTGATCTCCTACTTTATACATTTAAATCGCATTGGCACGGATCATTAAAATTGCGAGGCTGACAAACTCAATCGGTACACTATCTTCGACATTCATTTCTTCTGTATCTTTTTCTTCTATTTCTTATCTTCGCCTTTTCTTGATCTTCTTTTCGCTTTGTCTACTATCTCTATCCTATTCTTTGATATGAATTTCTTTTTGAATTGCACACTCTATTTCTCACTTTAATTAACACTCTTCTCTTCTCTTCTGTAGAAACGATCTTTCTATTCTGACGCTACGATCTGATACTCTATTACTTCCGTTTCATTTTCTTCGTGATTCTGTTTTTGTCTCTTTTCTCTAGAATGCTACTGCTCTAAATTTGTAATTTCTTTCTTTCTTTCTTTACTAGACTATTCTATCTTTATTTTCACACTTTTCTCAAGTACCTGTCAGTATTACAATGTCAAAATTTGTTGATCTTGCCATAAATTGCTTTCCATCTATTTCTTACGATATAGATAAAGCTACTTCTTCTTGTTTTCTGTCTCAAATCTATCTTGCCTCGCATATCTCGTATATATTTTACTTTCTCCTACAATGCTGCAATTATAAATAGTAGGTTATTATAACTAGTCCCTGCTCTCTTTGAAATTTTTCTCTTTTAATGACCGTCTTTCTCTTCAATTTTCATATCTCTTTTCTGTTTCCCTACTGTACTATCTCCACTGTATTTCAGTTAGTAATTTTATCCCTTTTTACGTGAACTCGAGAATACTAAAGTACCTGAAATTTAATACATTATAGCACTTTACCATGTTTCCTAGGTGCTACTTTATTTTTCTCCAATTTCTCTGATGATTTATTTTTGTAAAATATATCTATTTTCGTACTATCGCTATTTTTATCTATTTTATCTCCTTCTGTAATCGTATTGTCTTAAAGTTATTTATATTCTATCCTTGTAGCCTCATTCTGCTCTGTTCTTTCTGTATACCTTTACTTTTTTTTTATCTTATTTCTTTGTACTCTAATATAAAAATTGTTTTCCTAATTATATTCTTCCTTTTGTTTTCTACACTGATCTATTAAGTTTGTGACATATTCTATTTTTATTACATGTTATTTAATTTCTTTTTCAATTCCATATCTTTCTAAGTTTTATCGCTTCCAGCATTGTCTTCTCAGTTTCTTCTGTCTTTTCTCCTCTTTCTGAAATTATTTTCTTATATTGAATACTATTATACTTCACCATATTTCTTTTTTTTTCTATTTAAAAGTTTAACTACTTTCTGTTCTTGTCACTCTTTGGAAATATTAGTTTTATCCTTTCTCTTCTTCTATGTCGTTATTTTTTCAGTATCAGCTTGAACTTTTCACAAAATCGTATTTTGTATTTTCTCTGTTTATTGTATATTCGATACCTTTTTTTTCTTTTCTGAATTCTGTTTTCTTCTCTGCATCTTTTTCAATTTTGTAAATATCTCTTGAAACTTTCGGTCTGCCTATTTTTCGTCTATTTATCTGTTTACTATACTTATGCAACTTCTTTTGGTTTCTTCTGTTTTCTTTTCTTCAAACTTTTCTTTACCCCAAACTATAAATTTTCTTACAAATTTAACAATCCTACTGTTTATACGAAAAATCGAATAAAATTCTCTTGTCTTTTTCCATTTTTAAAAAAAAACTCTACTTTTATCTCACTTTTCTTTTCTGTCACTTTCCAATTCTTTATTCTGCTTTCTTCTATTCTTCAATTTCATCTTTTCAATTTCTACCCTCTACTTTCCTATATTTAAACCTTTCTCTATCAAATTTTCACTTTTTCAAGCTTTCCCTTTCTTCCACTTCTTTCTTCTTTCATTTACTTTTATCTACATTTCTCTGTATTCTATCTGTCTGAGAAACTACAGTGAATTTCATGCTTAAGCTTACACATAGCTGAATTTCACAAGTTGAAAGAATAATCTAAGTATTTTACAAAAGCATGACAAAAGAAAAATGAACGCGTAAAAGCGAAAGTGCACAGGCCGTGTCACTTTCGACCAGGAAACTGCGTTTCCTCTTGTCTTCTCTCACTTCTAGTCTAGTCTTCCCACCTATCGTTACCTGGATCTATCATAAAGTAAAAAAAGCTATATACGAGAGAACAGTGCGTAATTCTCCTAATGCTGTGATTCTCAAGTGCTATAGTTGTTTATGCGAAATCCAAGCTATGTAATATACACGTTACCAATGTTGTACTTTCCACTCTGCTACATCTTTTCGCTCTATATTTTGCGATTAAAACAGCCAATTATGTCCCGTTTCAGGGTAAAGCTACTTTTAGCCTCTCTTGTAAAGTATAACAGTTGCTTAGTCGACTTTAATCACCTGCATCTAGTATCCTTTCAGATATGTTATCTGAAGAGAAAGAAATGTACATTTTATTAAGATTCTTAAATGTAGATTGGAAAAGTGAATCGGTGATTAAGCAACTGTTATTCACTATGTTTCAACTATCTGTTTACAATAAACGATCGGTCTCTATATTTCTGCCTTTCTTTTTATACTCTACTGTACCTATTCTCTTCACCTGTCTTCGCAACTTTATCTTTCTATCTCTTATTCTGTCCTATTTCTTCCATTTAAATGTAAATATGAAAATTAGCATTTCTTTTAAAAAATCTGTATTTCCTCGTATTTCTTTGATTTGTCTATTCCATCTTCACTTGCTATCACAGCAGTTACGTTGGCGAGAAGTTTCTAATTTTTCATTCGAGTCTCAGAAGCAAAATCGGGTTTTCTTAACGAGAGAAAAACGTTGAACGTGGAAAAAGCGCGCGCGTAGCTGCGAAACAGTGCACTTTATGTTTCTTCTGCTTTATTCAATTCTAATCTCTGTAAAGTTTACAATACTAACACACGTAAAAATAACAGACAACATTTGACGAAACTTTTTATAAAACATTTATAAAAGATCACTTCCTTCCTTAGAGAATAAAAAATCCTATTTTTGTTGGATCAAATGTTGAGTTCCACCTTTCCGCCTAAAATCCCTTCGTAATTTTCAAGCACAGGATTGACTTCTTCTTCTAAAAATTCGATAACCTGTTGAGGTGCTCTACCAACGAACGTACGCGGATCCAAAAGATTATCCAACTGATTAAGGATCGGGGCAAAATATGGATCTTTCTTGATCCTGTCCACTAGATCGTTGTTTTTGCCGTGTTGCTTCACCTGTGCACCAGCTTCTTGAGACAGCACTCTTATTTTCTCGTGGCAAACCTGTCACGGAAAAGCAATATTAATTTATTGGATTAAAGAAAATGTTTTTAAAAAAATATTCTTTTTTTCTTGTTTTAGAACTCTACTAAAGTCAGATTTCCTAAGCGTAGAAAGGTAAATGTTTTCATATAAAATACAATTTTGTTTCTGTTATGAGTGTACAATAACATAAATCTTACTTGTCTATCGCCTCCTGCTTTTACTATAGCCATTATTATATTTTCCGCAGTCATAAAAGGCAATTCTTGTGCGATATGGCTGGCGATAACTTTGGGGTAAACGATCATGCCTTCCGTAATATTTTGAAGAGTCATTAGAAGCACATCCGCTGACAAGAACGCCTCGGACAAAGTAATTCTTCGATTAGCAGAATCATCGAGCGTTCTTTCCATCCATTGATTGGCTGCTGTTTGTAGAGCATTATTGACCAAAGTCATCAAGTGTCTTGCTATACTACAACACCTCTCTGAACGCATTGGGTTTCTTTTGTATGGCATTGCACTTGATCCAATTTGAGTGCTCTCGAACGGTTCCTCGACTTCTTTCATGTTCGCCAGTAATCGAATATCACTACAGATCTGTGGAACAGAAACTAATAAAGCAAATCTTCAAAGGAAGTCTTGCATTATGTTTTTATTTTATTACTATTTTCCTATTTGCTTCATTCAATAATTTCATTTGGATTTTTACCAAATAAATAATGGACAGCTTATTTCTTTTTTTAGAGAAGGTAGTTTATTGACCTTGTGGACAGTAGAACCTAAAGAACTTAGAGCATTTAAGCATTCTACGTCGACTTTTCTGCTGTACGTTTGTCCTGTTACAAGATAGTGTCTATCGAAACCAGCCATTTTAGTTACCAGTTGATCTAACTGCTTAACTTTCTTATCATCACCTGTGGAAACGAACCAAAGACGAAAGTGGAATATTTTTAAATATATATTATATTATATAATAATTATAGTTTTTGCAATTATTTAAGATACACACTCACCATTAAATAATTGAAGGAACGAAGCTTGAGTGCCAGTTGTGCCTTTCACTCCGCGAAACTTCAAATCGTCTCTAGCTCGGCAAAGATTTCTCTCATCCATCAGAAGATCATGAAGCCACAGCGTAGCTCGTTTACCAACGGTCGTAAGTTGTGCTGGTTGAAGATGAGTGAATCCCAAAGTCGGCAAATCCCGATGTTCCATGGCGAACTTCGCGAGACGGGACAAAACGTTCGCCAATTTCGGCAGAAGAATGTTGAAACCTTGACGAATAATTATTAAATCCTTCGAAAATCAATACAACTACCATGAATAGGGTATTTCACATGAATGATGCGTATTCATTACAGGAAATGATATTAATATTACCGTGTTGTCACCGACGTAGCAACTAGTTGCACCTAAATGGATTATTGGAGCAGCTTTTGGACATTGCTTTCCAAAAATGTGAACGTGAGCCATTACATCGTGTCTGGTGGCTTTCTCTTCCTCAGCAACAGCTTTAAAATCTATATCGTTCACGTGAGCCTCCATTTCCGCGATTTGCTCCGGGGTGATAACTAAGCCCAGCATCTAAAATAAATATTGGACATTAGAAATATTTAATAATATTATTCGTAAAAGACTCAACGAAAGACTATATAAATCAGAACTGAAAATTTGTAAATTTCAAGCTTGATACGATGGCGAATGCTAATTAACGTCTAGTCACTAATTTCTTTTTAGAAAGTACATTCGCATAATGATTTACATATTTTACGATATATCTTTACACTGTTTCTTCAGATAAAATTGAATTTTTAAAACCAAGTTCTATTCAAGTCAATTTTGTAATTATGTGCAGTGGAGGACTTTTAAGATAATTAGGTCAATGGCATTTAAAAAAAATGGTCAGGGATAAGAATACAATAACGTTTCATGATAATTTTATTGAATTAATCGTATGAAAACAAGCATTAAGAAAATAAAGTAACAATAAACGTTACATTTCGAGGTATATTATCGTTCGTTTTCTACTGGTCTTATCCCTCTGTCGACGTACGCTGTATCATCTGATTAGATAAAGAGGGCTTGGTACCGCGTCGAAAACAACCAGCACGCTTTTATTTCAATTAGTTCACCTATCCCAAGCGTGAAGAGTTCATATAGAAAAAGTAATCATGGTGTCTTTAGAAACTATTGCGGGTATAGCGATAAAAGTGCTTAAACTGGTGAGGAGAACTCTTTTATCGTTCTCTTTATTATCTAATTATATTTTATTATATGCATATTTATATGAAGGTGAAGCGTGCCGAGTCAATAATTCGGAAACATAAAACGGGTAGTGAAACTGTGATTCTAAAAATGAAGTTGTGTGACGAATAATTAAGATGATATATCGATCAAAATTTTGTGATTTTTTATTCATTCTTTCGCGCGTGCACAAAATTGAAATTCTCCATTTGGTTTACAATTTATTAAAGTTACGACAAAATATGGACAGTATAATACACTTTCGATATAACTTTTAGGACAAAATTACGTGGATTGGATGAAACGTTCTCGTTTCGTGCAGCAATAGAAATATTTTTCACCTAAAGGTGCCTTGCAACAATAGTACTATTGCAAAATCACGATTAATGGATGTCGCATTGTCATTGTAGAGTTGATTCTTATTTATGAAAAAATTGCGGCAATTTCACAGACGTTTAAGTCATATCAATTGCGTGTCGAATCTGATTAATAATGCCTGGTCCATCAGTTAATGTTAGGTTCCTACGTTGATAAATCATTGTAACTAGACTCATTCAAGAAACATTTGTACATAATTGTATGATTCATTTCAGTTATCGATGTACGATAAGGATATTTGTAAAGCGATACCATATTACGGTATCGTGGCATCAGAGTACTATTCTTTTACTAGAGTTAATTCCTTATGACCAGCTAATAAAAAGAGACTAAAATATCGAAGAACTAAGAAATTCCGTTATTTTTATACACGAGAACATTACAATTTTCAAATATGTATCACGTTCTATTAAACAGATCTTCACGAATTGTAATTTATTGTTGCAAGTCAAATCGATCTTAGATATAGAACTATTTTATTTGTTAAGGTATATATGTCTTGTTTAGGCTGTTGATTGTCCTTTCAGGTTATTAATCTTATAATCCTGATCCTGTATCGAACAGGATACCAAGGGGAATTCCTGGGTGTTGGAGGAACATGGAACTTGAACGAAGACAAAAATCCGGACGCAGAAATCGTTGCGTCTGGAGTTTTAGTGGGATTTTTCATATACACCAGCGTTGTTCTAATTACTTATTGCTTTGGCAATTCGTCTCACAAAAAGACACTTGTTGTAAGATCATTTTCGCTCCGATTACAACTTTATACTTGGGTTATTTATTTTAGAACAAAAATCTATTAGACGCGGGATCTATAAACAATTCAGATTAAGATCTATAAATAATAATTATCGGAAGATATGAAATTGTTTGACATTAATGAAAAATATTGACTTTTAGGAAATTATAATGAACTTCGTTGGAACCTTCATGTTCATCGCTGTAGGTGGCACAGCACTCCATTATTGGCACGGATATCAATCAGAAAATAAATTCGATACGATTGTCCAGGAACGACAGGTAATCTTTAATAATCTAATTACTAACTATTAATTAAACAACGATAAAATCTATAAAACATCTCTGTCTTCATCGATTCTTTATTGTAATTTTACACAATAGATATTATTTATTTTATCTAAGTGTTTCAATGTACCTTGTCATTGTATTGACACAGAATAAAAATTTTTTTAGGTCGGCCTAGCTGTTGGATCGTTGTGCGTTATCGAGGGTGCAGCGTATCTCGTCGATCTAATATTAAGCGTTCTACATTTTGCAAAAAGCCACGATGAATATTTAGAATAAAGTCACGTTTCACGTAACATATAGAATAGTAATCTCGCCACATTTTTTTCCAAACGATGTCATAACAGAAAGATAAACAAATCCTCCGACGTTTGAAATAAAAGTTCAGTATATGTCTGTCATCTGCATAATGCCAAAATAATTTATCTAAGAAAGGAAGAGGATTAAAGTTAAAGTAAATCGTTGTTAAATTAAAAATTAGATTACATTTTTTATAATTACAATTATAATTACAACTTTGTACTTGAATTATCGACAAGATGTACTACTGCATATACAATCTATATGATATCTGTCTATATTATAGATAGTAAAATGTAGAAAACAGTCTTTAATTTTTATATAATGTTGCTACAATCTTGTCAGTAATTTCGTTTCATCATTTATACGACAATTTAATATATCTATTTTAACGAATTTTCCAAATCAGTTGTTTCAAATCTTTTCTCGTAAATATACGTATATTCTTTACAAATTTAAGAAAAGAATTCTATCCAACGAAAGAGATTAAAAGAACAACTTTCGAATGTTCTACAATATACGTCCACGGTTTGATAATATGAATAAAGTAACTTATCCGGAGAAAAATTATTCGCAGACAATTCAGTACATATCTCGATATTAAGATCGATTACTTTCATCGAATTTTAAAGCGTCCAATGATTAGTTTACTCTATGATTTAATAAACATGCCTCTTACTCAAGTACCTAGACTTTTCAAAGACTTCAGTTTTCTTTTGAAAGTACACGAAATGGTAATACTACTTTTTATCGAAGAAATTGCGAATACAAATCGAAATCGAAACTACATTTTCTTGGCCGTTTAGATCATAGCTGGTGTTTGCATCCACGAGCTGTTAAACCGCAAGGAATTCACGACACCAAGATGGTTATGGGTCATTTACTGCATCGACGCGTCCACGTACTTTATCATCTATTTTTCCATCGCAATGACTCACGTTTTTGAAAAACCTCGCAGATTACCAGTTAGTTGCACATGAGCTTTCTTAACAACGTAAACTTTCCTAATAACGTAATTGAATTACGGAAATTTGAGGAAGTAAAATATTTAGAATTCTAAGTAATAAGCTCAAGATGTAATTAGACACAGAATCCGATATTAGACGTGAATTTATTTCTCAACGAATATATAACGCCTCGCGTGATCTTTTCTCGTTTATCTTTTCCTATATTTATTTATAGGAATTCACCTTTTTTTCGCTCGGAGCGATATTCCATTTCATAGGTGGCACAGCAGCTCTGGTGAGGTCAAATCACGAAAATTACACGAGGACCGACATTCCACAAAACGAATTAAAAATTGGCTTGCTGTTAATGGGTATATATTCTTTTCGCAATTTTCCTTACCACTATCGGTGGGAAAATCTGTAGAATTTCGTACTTTTCAGGTAATTTCATCATACTATTTTGCGAAACCGCTTATATAGGCTATACAGAATATAAAAAAATGAAACAATCTCCTGGAAATGGTTCTTCTAGGAATGTTGAAACGTAGAACGACAGTTAACGAATAAATATTTTCTATCAACACATAAATTATGTTTCATTCAAAATGAATAAATTTAAACTTAAAATATGTTCGTCAGTCACATGCTTCGATTTGCATCGCGCGATTCGGTCGAAAAAGAAAGGTCGATTGTTCGAGCGCTGAAACTTCCGGCACGTTCGATGAGAACATATTTTGAAACAAAATATCGTCGTAAATTTATTATCGATCGGAAGGTTCTGTAAATATCATGATTTCGATAGAAGAATAATTCTCGAGAAAAATGGGCAACGTACCGGTGCATATTAACAACTTCACAATAAACGCATTGGTTCTCGAAAAGAAGTTGCTGATTTGGAGAACATTGGCCATGGTACGATTTTAAATACAAATTTTACAATGTTTGGTTAAAATGAAAATACAATGAAAATTCGAAGGCTCGTTTCTATCGGTAAAAGCCTTTTACTTTTATAGTCTGCCTGCATAATAGGTACCGTAGTGTACTTGCGACCATTGGAGCCATATCTCGAGGTTCCAATTTTCGGGGTTTTAGTACCTACCTTTATAACAGGCTACATGTTCGTGCATTCGTCAGATATCATACTTCTGGTGATGGACAAAGACTATATATATCTCGTGAGTAAGTGAAAGGCGAAGTATAACCCATTAACTGATCGAAGACGAGAGTAAAAGTTTGTATAAAAATGTACAACTGTTTAGGAAACGTGGCTCACTGTAATTGGCGCAATCGGAAGTCTAATTTGTGGCATTTACCAGTTTTACAAGTGGGTCGATTGGATGATCAATCCTTCCCCGAATCCTGACGGAGACTACGAGTACGTTTGAGTTCACTTTCTATGGAAATTCGTAAGATTAAAAGCATGAACCCACTTGATTCGAATGAGAGATGTTTGAATTTCTCTCTAAGTTTCGAAACTGAAGGGTTTGGGACTGTCAAATAAAATTCGAATTATTTCAGTATCCCCGAATTAGTGCTGGCTTTAGCTCTCATTTTCCATTTTATCTGTTTATGTGCCGTGATCGTTCACCGTGTTCTTGAAATATATCCAATTCGTGTGAATCGCAGAGAGCCATAACGTCTTAAAAGAACCCAAATTGCAAGTAATATAAAATTTGTCTTCGCGTTGCGTGCAAATAACGTATAAGATAGTAAAATAGTCTTCCAAGAAACAATGAAGAACTTCTCCTACAGCGAATATCAAGAATATTTAAAAACAATGAATGGGTGGCGGGAATAATGAGTCACAAATGAAGACATCGCGGGCTTGTGTATAATGTCACGAATATGTAGCATGCCGAGTGAAGTCGAAGAAGGGTTGCAACAGCGAACATGATATGCATCAATTAGTCTACTTGACCCGGTAATCATCGTGAATGACCGGTACAATCGTACACCCACGGTCCGGATACATAATCGCGTTAATTAGCAATGCTTCTGGTAATTTAACTTCTCAAAGCGAAACCCGAGTGATGTTAGAAAATGCGAAACTAAATTGAAATTAAAAAGAAGAAAAAAATTAGAGAAAACCATAACGAAGGATTGAAATAAAATATAGAAAGAATAGACAAAAACACGAAAAAATCAATGTAACAAATTTTTTCTCAATAAAATTAATATCTAAAAATTCTTCCGTCAAATTCTTCAGGAACAAAGGCAGTGAAGCGTGAAATTTTAAATTCTAATCGTCTAACATATAGACAGGATGAAGTAGTATTAACGTTTCGGTAATGTGATTTGCCAAAGCGGAAATCGTAGCGCATAGTTGAAGATCGATAGGAAGATCGCATAATGATTGATGAAGACCAGGCCGCACCTACTGACCTAGTGAACACGTGATCTTCTATCGAGCACGTTTGTGAATGCACACCCTGATATATAATGATGTTCACACCTGCATGAATGATTGTATTTAGATACGTTACGTACATGCGCGTAGTATAGTTTTTCTGTAATAGGAGTAACTACGCATTAAGACTATTACGCAATTAGAAAATAATCTACCGTTGGTATAAGTTGGGTCGTACACGATGCTTTAATACTCTTTTTTCTTCGTTATTACATTACGGTCAATTAAAATCAAATTTTCTACGCTTTCTCCGCTTAACATTGCGAAAGTTAGTTTGCTTCGTTTCTTAAATTAATCGATATTAGATTTAATCGATATTAATTGTACAGGCTTGAGCTTAGTGTGTTTGTTTGACTGGAACTTATTTCAGGTAGTTTTCTTCTTGTTTAAGTATATTCCTACCACTGGGTTGGAAATTATAGGTCGATATCGAATATAAGAAGACAGTTGACGATAACGTTCCATATTTAGTGTACACATAGATTTAGCGATTCCTTTCTGTTTGTTTTAATACTCATATTGTACATTTATCGTGTCATGGTCGAAAAAGTTATAACTTACCATAGGTACGTAATGCTTTTTATCGGTCATCGTGTTACGAAGAAAAATCTTAATTCTCTCTGAAACTTTGAATTATTACAAGCTACTTTACTTTGCTTGTTAAGAATATATTACTGCATGGACGCAGGAAGTAATATGATATTCTGTCTTTTTACTTCGTCTCTCCCAACATGAATCTACTTTTCTCAGTTTTATTTCTATAGATATTAAATATTCAATAACAACCTATAATCATACTTAGATATAGTTTTAAAAATTTATTGTAAAAGAAACTGCCGGGGAGAAAAAGCAATTCAAATAAATAAGAAATACAGTATTACATCGCTTTAACAAGAGCACAGACGTTTGTTAAATATATTTAAGAAAATGTGTTGCGTAGGAAATGCGATACACCGCATGAAATCAAGGAAAAAGGAGCAGTATAGAAATTATTTCACAACATCACTCAAGAGTAATACGATTCAAGAGGCCGGTGTACGAACCGATTTCAGATCGGTTCAGGAAGGAAATATTCGCCGTGGCCCTTTTATTCTGGCGCTCTCGACCCGATCCTGCTTTCGTTTATACGTGTTTAAACGTGACGTGGAAATGGCCAAAGCTCGATGGTTTTTGTGCACGTGTACACATCCGCAATACGTTCACGCAAATTATACATCGTGAGTCACGTGAAGTCCAGCATGCACCGATGCATACCTTTCGATGTATCAACAACACGTGTTCGTGAATTAAATGCCGCAGTTACTTCGCCCTTCGTCACAGGCTCCGATTACCGGAGTCTTTTTCCAAATCATAACTTGGGCGCCTAGCAGTCGAGGCATTATTTAACTACGTGGCAACATGATCGACAAGAGAAGTTTACAGATACAGTGGAACGTCGATTATCCTCGAATAATACGGAAAGGTCTATTAGCGTTCGTAAATCATATAATAAAATCATAGAAAGCATTTTGATAATGTTATGCTACGTGTATTTAGGTTTATTTCATTGCTTTCAAAGAAAGGTTTGTAGAAAACACTGTAGATGTCAGAAAACCAATTTTTCAGGGGGAAGAGAAAGAGTATTACGTTGTAATAAGTCCATATTCATGAAAAAAGAAAAGTGTATCTGTAGAGAACCATGTATGTGGCAACTTTTATTTGTAAACAAAAGCCGAGAAACAATTAGCTGACGTTTATTGCTATATTTTATCTTGCTGTTTTTCTCTAGAGGCAACGTTAGAAGTAACAGTGATACCATCTTCTAGCGTTACTAATAACTATTTAGAATAGGAAATTGCACTTAAATTCTATACTACAGTATTCTGATTAGTATGATAAAACATTTTCCAATGAGACAACAACGTTTCTCAATGTGGACACTTGCAGTATTTTCTACAACCATTCTTCGTTTATTTAATCGTAAATTTGTTGAGTGTTTGATTAACTGCTTTCACGATATTTGACTATTCGCACGTTCATACTCTTTCTGTTAAAATTTCGAAAAAATGAAGTTACGGCAAAGTTCAAACTACTTTGGATAATACAGAACTTCGGTTAAGCGGGACTCAGATAAGCGAGACTCCACTATATGTACAATCATGGAGAAAGGAGTTGTTGGTTTTTATTCAGAAATAATTTTATTCCGACCTTGTAAGGGTTTAGATTGATTTTTCACGATTTGTGAATCTTCAAACATAATAATTAGTAATGAGGTGCGATTACTAAATTTTACTATGTAATTTTATGGGACATTGGGAATTCAATAAAATAATTTAAGTTTGCAATTGCAAAGATCTGAAATTCTATTTCTAAAGAAATAAAGAAGAAGAGAAGTCCTAAGTTTCTATCGATGTTTTCAAATTCGTATCTTACTATAATACTGATATTTACAACGATTACAATACGCCGACACAACACCTGTTTTCCCAGTATTGACCACATAATGACACTGACTGCGACGATCATTCGAGGAACGCATCTAATTGTTAGCAGTCCGTATGTCGCAGACATTCTCTAATTTCTCAAACATACCGTGAAATAAGATAAATATATCAACTAAATCATCATCATAAGACGAATTTCGTTCAAATCGTTCTTCGTCTCGAGCAATTTAACCGAGAAGAAGAAGCCTCGCCCACAAACCCAATTATTCTGCCCTCTACGATAAAATATCCCACCCAAAGCTACTTAACAAAAGCAATGACTAACAACTGCTCAGCATTAAAAGTAACGGTATCATTCTTTCCATAAAGAATTTCCACGGCCAAGAAATAGTAGAACAAACAAGAAATCCACGGTAATTGTTACGTAATTCTAGTTTCTTCGCGGTACCTTCTTCGCCGGAAGTAGAAGTAATAAAAGGAGAGAAAGAAAGAAGTTCTTCGTGACAATCAATTTGATGCATCCATTATGACGGAAATGCGTCAATTAAACGAATTAGAAAGTACACGAGGATCGTTTTCGTGAAATTACACGGCAATGACACGTACAGGAGCAAACGAATGCGACACGGTCATACGGTGAACCTGGTTAACAGAGTCGGCAGACCGCCTGCGCAACTTGCACGTACGACGCGTAGCCTCGCAGTGTGTCACGCTTGACGTTCCAGTTTAAGTTTGTCCGCCACACAGCGTGCAACTGCATGTTTCTCCGACAATACTACACTATATCGCACGATTAGCGTGGCTGGACTTCTAACAACACGCGTCCACTGCATCGATCGTAACCAATCTCCAGGATCTTCCCGGTTGGGTTAGCCTTGGAATTGTGATTCACTCGAGCGATTTAACTGTGAAGGATTTTGTGATTAAAATTACAAAATATTTGCGTAGAGAAGAAAGTGCGACTGAAGATAGTGCGCGGTGCGGTGGATTCTTCGACTGGAAGAAATTTTGTGGATATTAGTTCACGTGGGTGGAAGTGTCCACGACACGTTGAAAAAGGTATGTATCTATTGTTTGGATATTTATACGGTGCTTTTCAGGAATTTTTAAAACTTGCTTTTTCATTAAACTCTTCGGTTAATTTTCTCAACGATACTTCACAAATAAGTCGTAGTGAAATAAACATTTCTGTAGATTCTTATAGAGTACTCTATCATTGAGTCATGTGTCTGTCTATGGTTTTGTAATACGTATGAGTCAAGAATGTTAAGAACGCTAATTCTGTGTAAGGATATCAATTCAGGTATAATGAGAGAGATAAACTATTTGCGACGTTCCGCGCGATTTCAAGACGCAATAATATAGTAAACGATTTAAGCTGAAATATCCAACGTCGTCAAGTATCTTGGGAAATCTTTCAGAAATTTTCGAAGTGGAGTAATAATGGAGAATAAACAGAGTATGAATTGAAGTGTACGTGAAAGCAGAAATCATGAAATCTTTATTCAACATGCAAGCTACCTCATGTGTCTGAAACCGCTTTTCGCGTCCATTGGTCTCTAATTCATGTACACGTTCTTCTCAGTAATTCAGATGCTTATCGTGCTATTTGCTATTGCCAAGGTTTGATGTGCTTGAGGGGTGGAAAGAATTGATCGTGAACGAAGGATAAACCCAAAATCTTCCAAACTGGGTGACGGCAGAGGAAAACCCCGTAGAGTCAGAATGGCAGATGATAATCAGCAGGAGAGCCAGCATGTTCATAAGGAGCTGAAAGTGGCGAAGCTTATGCCTCTTGCGATGAAGCTCTTGGAAATTGTAAGTACTTATTTAATCATGACAAAATAACGAATAATTCAGTGAACAAATTTTAGTAATTAATTAGTGCTCTTCAGAAATATTGAAAATGCTTCGAATGAATGAATATTTGTACTTTACGGTTAATAACAATCCAGTTACAAATATTTCTCGATGCGTTGGCATTTGAAATTTGCATTTGGCAGGTTTTAGCTGTGTTCGCTATCGGATTAGTCGTCGATCCGTTAAATTCGTTCCAGAAGATCATGATTAGAATGCATTTCAAGCTTGACGATGCCGCGATAATTTACATCACTATCGCTGGCTACCTGATGATCAACACGCTTTTCATCATTTGTCAACTGTTGGGAGATCGAATACCGAAAAGAACCGTAAGTTCTATTCACTTAAAATCGTCAGTATAGTTTAGAAAACGTAACAATAAGCGTGCGTTTCAAAGATAGAAATTCATAAAATAATTCGTACGATGGAATAATCTTTGATTTAATGTAAAGAATAAAATATGTAGACATTCCTGTCGTAAATTATTTAAAAACCGATCGCTTCAATTAATTTAACGCGAGATTCTGCGAACCAGAAAACAGATTACGTGACAGGTCTAGCGATAATAAATGGGCGAAGCGTCGCAATCAAGGGATCGCGTGACGATCACCAAAGGACGAATAGTATCACGTCAGTTTCATTTCCCATGTTTAGTATTTTCGACATAAATCTGTCAACAAGGTCGGAGTTTCCGTCGTTTTATTGGTCTCCAGTTAGAACCCTACCCATTTGCTAAATCATCATGCAGAAACTGCATATTTAATAACTAACAAACGTCCTTCGTGTCTCCAGAAAACTCTTCGTCCTCGTTTGTAAAATTATTCGCACGTTTTAGTGTAAATCGACAGTCATAAATCGACAGACATTCATAATTACGACTGTAATTTATGAATGAGAAATCTATTTTAACAAATTGTATGTTGAGACAATTTTTTAAACAGTACAATAGCTTATTTTTAGAAGTATCGCGTTCATGATTATTATTTGTGAATACATTAAAAACTTTCTCCCATCAAAAAGGACGAGATTATTAAGTATTCAACGTAAGATAACCAAGATTCGCTTATTTTTCATAGCTCATAAATGACAATGAGACAGCAAATGGCCTCTAATATCTGTATCGATCTATCTTCGATATTATCTGTAAATTGTAATTTTCTGGGGCACTGGAAATCCATCCAAGAGACCCAAAGCTAATTTAATTTTAATACTTAGGTTATTACAATCTACGACTGTTTCTTACGTAATAGTCTGTCAAGTATTAAAAATATATCACGATACCAAGCTTCGACTATTTCCGAGCTGACTAAACTGTTCGAAACCATGCACGTGTTCCGTTCTAGTTTGATTAAAATTCATAACTTATCAACGTCCAAGTCCCCGTACTGTTTATCGATCACCTACTTTACAACGTCTATGTTCACGAAACGATCGGAACTTACAGTATCTAGGACTGGTCGCTTCGAGAAATACGATAATTAGTGTCGTTCGTGTCTCACAACTGTGATAACACGTAGAATAATTGCGAGGTTCGGCGCAAAAGTGAACGACTGCGTGACCTCCTTTGAACGATACAAGGAATTTTAGAAATAGCATAATTCGTTCCAAGTTTCGAACGTGTGCTCGGCGTAATCCACAGAAAATTCTATTTCTAGGAAATTTATTCGTAAACTGAAAATTTTTCTCTAAATATCCTATTACATGACAGGACGCGTTTCTTACATGGCAAGACCAATGAAACATTTAAGAAATAACTGAAATTAATGTTTCAGAAATCTACGAGTTTGTTATGCTAACTTTTTTCTTCAAATTACTCTTTGAATATTTAAAAAGACACTATGTTTGAAGTTACGAACTGCGCACGTTCTCTATGTTTATGATTATTATCCTTGAAAAATGGAAGTAAAAGTAGATCGTCGATCTCGATACATTTTTGAGTAACATCGATCTGCTCTGATTGCAGTTGATATTGTTCTCTTCAGTCGGTGGGCTCCTGCACATCGTCGCTGGAAGCATAATTGTCTATAATTGGACAAAGATTCTCGGCCCTTACTACAGCAACAACGAATTGTATCCCAGCAAACAGTACATGGATATGTTCATATCAGGCGCAGTGTTCACATTTGTCAATGCTGCGGTTTTCTTCTTGGAAGTATTCTTCATCATTTACTCGTCAAAAAGCATCGAGTAAGAAGGAAAGATACGGCGTAACGGTCTTTAGATTGGGAGAACGAGTATGAAACATTCGTGAGAATTATACTTACAAATGCCTGCTTGATGTAACTAGGAGAATAGATTGTCAGTAAGTCAGTAAAAATATGAATATTTAATGTTATGTAAATTTTGAAAAAAATGTCGTTTCTATGGAGAAAAAAGAGATAGCTGATGTTAAATATGTCACGTATTTTATAAAATAGTTTATCACAAGAGGTGATGAAAGAAAAGAAACAGAAGAATCGAAAAGAGATGGTTTCCCACCGAATGTGTTCTACATCATATACTGAAAAATGAAAAATGTAAAAATAATGTACACTGATATAAGGCCCAAAAATAATTCACGAGCCAAATATTCAAAGATTAGTTGTAAGTTCTGATTCCGTCCAATCGTCTTAACGACGATCTAGTTAGGTGTTACTTGATTATACGCGTAGGTTAGAAGAGTAGATATTTATAGGAAATGTACAAATCAAATGATGCAGTGAATTGTATACTGTAGAAAATAGTTTTAACTGATAGATCAGAATAATATTTTGGATTAATAGTTTCATAAAGTTCTTAGCTTTAGTCTTTCCTTTTAGCAACGTAGCAAATTTAGCAATTAACAAAGATTAAGCTCCAAAGATTTTCTACATATATGGTATATTTTATGATATATACGGTATATTTTTCATATTTTTAAGAAATCATAAAGATCCATTAAACTATATATATATATATACATACACATATATTGAATATTATTTATAATCGAAAGTTTGGATAACTAGAGTAGTGTTCTTATACGTACGCATAGTATAATATATGTATAATAATATAATCTGTAATCTCTGTTTCTTACTTGTTGATATCATACATTTTATATATGCTACAAATCTCAGAATTGCCATGAATATTTTTAGATAATTAGTGACAAAAATTATACTTTTTATATTAATAATTGTAACTATGATAAGACCAAAAATTATAATTCGTCTTTATATACATTTATCAATTTATAAATCTATTATATAGATTTGACAAAAATTGATGTGTCTTTATCAAAATACATTCCGTCCAATTTTAATACTAATCGACATCTTGTAATACAAGATGTTCACGAATTAATATTTCATATCGATAATCCTTTGTTATATAATTTTATAAGCCAAATGTAAAACTTATTATAAAAGAGAACGAAAGTATATTAAAAGATGTATTATAATGTACGCCATATAATACATGTACAAAATAAGCGTTGGAAGAATAACGTGTTTTATTCTTCAATTTTCAGTTCCAAGTCCCATATCCATTGCTTTAATAATAGCGGATTGTAATTCATTACACGACACGTTTTAATCAACATTACTAACAACAATCTCTCTGTTGCCTAATTGACACGACGAGATGACCACACTCTCCTGAATATCGTCGTAGAAGAAAATTTGCAAATCTATCGATACGCGACGTTTCGATATAACATAACATATATCATAACAATAAACAAAATGTAAAAAGCGATGATAGAGGTTCGCCCGATGACAGGAAGCTGATATAAAACTTCCTAAAGTCAATTGATCATGGAGCATGAAGGTTTAAATTATCTTCCAACCATTCTCCTTCTACGAGTTTTATTTCTCCTTGCAACACGAAATCTTTTTTCCAGACTCAAATAATTTGTATAAAAGTGTATATTCCTCAGAGAGCAAGTCAAATTCTAAATTGGAAACGAAGAAATTAAACAGAATCAGCGCGTGCGTTCGATTAGTAATAAGACCTCTCAGAATATTCCAATTCGTGAGTATTAATTACAAACATGATATTGCGATACACTACTCTAGTTGATATTACACTCGAGGATATTCCATCGAAATTAATTGAATGAAAGTGGTAATTAAACGAGACTTTTTGATTAATTAGCTAGTGGTACTACTGATCTTTGTACTTATCATTTACACGATATCACTGGGTGATTCTACTTTACCATCTATAACGTGTATTTTACTGATCGTGCTTGCTGGAGTGTACGTTTTCGTCTTGTCGATCGATCTAATTAGTCAGTTCATCGGAGGAGAATTGAACACGATGCCGGTAATCACTTGTATGAAGAAAGTTTCCACGAAAAATTAACATTAATTTTTACATCGTATCTATCACAATAAAGATATAAATGAATGTCAAAGAGAAGCATAAAACATTTTTATTGCAGATGTTTCTTTTTTCCTTATTGGGCACGATATTCTTCGCAATCGCTGGAATCCTTCTATTATTAAGTTACTCTTCACCATGGTACATAATAACAATGGCGTGTCTTTCTCTTTTCGCGTTTATCCTCTTCGTAATCGAAGTCTCATTGATACTCGCGTAAGTCCCAAGTCGAATAAAATTTTCCAATTCCGATTTTTCTATCAGTGAACTATGTGTTCCGTGTCAGATTTTGGAAACGTACCTGCAATCTCTGTCGGCAGTGCTGTTACGCGAAGCCGACTGAAGTATTGTTTCAGAAGGAAACCTGCGGCCCCTTGTCCGCCGAAGTGAGTTGAAACATTGAACATAAAACTTTATAGAAGGATAAAAAAGTAGAAAGATAGAAACTTTGCTTCTGCTGATTTCAGAGTTCAAGCAAGAACGATGCATTCCTAGATAAAATCTATTTAAATAAGATCTAATAAATAGTCATCTAAGACGAATTTTACAAATTATCTACCGGTTGATAGGTCAATTTCATAATAGTATTATAATATTAATAGTAAGTAATCTATGTTCCTGGAGTGTAACGTTTCTTTTAAGGTATCTCTCTACAATCTAGACGGTCAAACATGACCTGATGACCAGCGTCAGCAGCATCAAAGTACCTTTCGGTGAGGAAGACGTAGTCGCTGATCACAGTCACAGAAAGGTTTCATTTGGACGTCGACGGCAATACGTCGATTGTCCAACAAGTGCACGGAGCTTGTGCTACGTAGAAGTTGCTGATGTTCAAACGGATCATCAGCAAACATTGAGCAGACAGTGCCAAGTAATGATACAAATGCGCGCTATAGAGCGCAGTAATTAAACTATAAAGATATTTTCTCGATGTAGATTTAAATACAATAACATTTTCTTTAAACATATTTATCCCTTAATCTTGTTCGCAATTAGTTATTGTTACGTCAAACTCGATTACTTTGCTAATTACGAAGATTTAATCAGACTCAGCGAGAAGTAAAAGAGATGCCTGTGCAAACTGTGAGCAGATGCGAGCTATGCAATCGCGCTATACAATTTTTCGCAAGCTCTTCAGCTGTGATGCAGCCTACGATTCAACAAGCTCCTTGCGTACCTTGTCCTGCATTTCTACAGCTTCTTAGAGGATCAACGTGTTGTACAAGGTTGGTATCATTATGCTGCATTTATAAATGATTGGCACAATTGACGTTACTTCGATGAACGAATGAAATATATTTTAATAATTTTTATCGTGATTAGTTGTAGGTGTGTCACAGGTATAATTCAAGTATCGCAGCAAAGTCAACAGCAGCAAACGCAGCGGGTAGAGCAATCGAAGCAAGATAAGGAAACAGTAAAGGAACAAACGGACAGAGTGCAATCGGTGGAGAAGAAATCCTACGATATGTTGACGAGTGAGAAAGCTCGCCTAAATCAGGTTGCGAGTACAGGAGTTAATTTGACAGCAAACGCGTGATTTTTCTTAGTTCTAACAGTATAATCATCTTCCAATATTATAAAACGTTTTAAATTATGGTAAATATACAGATAAAACGTAGAAAAGTGATTATTTCTTCGGTAAACGAGAACAAACGAGAACAACGCAACGTTCTAGTGTGCCACAGAAAATGTTTCGGCTATATATTGGATGTAGAAAAAATTTCACGTATTTCCTTTTAGTTTTATACTCCTTTCTTATCTTCCTTACATCGGCGTATCTATAGTGCTGCTATTTAATTTCTTAAATTAATCACTAGACATTACCTTTTTCGAAGGCACCCAACACGAAGCGCAAGATCCGAATTTAAGAGGAGTCTCGGAAACGAAAATCACAAAATTCACTCTCGGTTCTTACTGCGTGACGCCGAAAACTCACATATCGTGCCAAACTGCCTCGAAAGCGACGTAAGCATATTTTATGTACATAGTTTTGCCATGAGAGAAACACAAACTTCTTTTATCTTGAATTATTATTTCATCGACTTAGTATATGTATGTGTTAACAGGAAGAAAGGTGAATCAGAAGAAGTGAAGAAGGTAAAGGTAAATGCAGTGAAAAAGGAGAAGGAGGTGAAGAAAAATAAAAATGAGAAAGATGAGAAGAAGAAAGTGAAACCAACGAGTATGGCGAACAAGTCGAAATCTCCACAGAAGACAAAGTTAAATAAAGATGTGGAACCTTCTACGGACAAACCAGAGAAATCTTTCAAAGAAACAGATTCCATATCTAAAAACCCAACTGTATCCCCCACGTTAGAAACGTCAGATTCTGTTTTGGAAGCTACAGACAGCCAATTAGAAAATATCCATAAGTTGAATCCTGTAGAATCGAAGGTGTTAATTCCCCCACCATGCCAGGTAGCAGAAATGATAAATTGTACACAAGAAATCGAGAATCAATCGAGAACGAAACCAGAGAATCCATCGATATTTGAAGGTAATAAAGAAGACGATAAACAACGGAAAATTGATGCTGATCAGAAAGATGAAAAGAAGAGTACTCTTACTGAAGATTCGATCAGCATGGACGAAGCGTTAAACTATACACTATGTCTGAATTTGAAAGAAAATGTAAAAAAGCCTAAAGTTTCTAATGATCGATTGAAGAATGATAAATCAACTGTAGAACAGGTATTGGAAACTGATTCGGAATCTCAATCTCAAGCGGAAACACAGACGTAAGAAATACTTCCATTTGGATTAAATAATAATATTGTTAGGTACTTTGTTTCCTTTTTTCGTTTAGATAATAGGTTTCTACTTGGAAAGAATGTGATAAGGAATGAAATTCTCTGAAATGCGAATAACAAGTAGAAGAGAAAAGGATGGTTTTGAATTTTATTCTGCATTTTAGATACGAATAAGTTATTTTTATTTTTTTATCTTTGCATTAAGGAATTATTCTATCGTAGACCTTTCAAAAATTTAATTTCATCTTGTGTTTCAAACAAATGAATAAATATACGAGTCAAGAGTGGACGTAGTAGCTCTTCTGCAGATTCTGTTTAACAAAAATACCAAAAAGACGCATCTTACAATAGCATATAAATAAGCTTTACAAAATACTACCTTAATCCCAATTTTACCAGCACAGTGCAGGGAAATGCTATCAATCTGACTTTAAAGTGAAACGCGTTGTAAAATGCAACTGTGACCTGCATATTTCCTATCTTGTTTAACCGTAATACACAGCTGATAATACACCGGAAATTGTTTGCATTTATTGCTTTAAACCTACTTCTGCCGCATAGTTCCATAAATAATCTTTCTTCATACCTTTATTCCCTAGTACTCATACAGAAATGACCAATTCAGCTACCAGAACGAAAAGAATGTATGGGTTCCGAAAAAACAACAAAGTTGAACCTACTAAACTGTCGTAAGAAAATAATATATCATTTTAAATTCGCTTCTAAAGTAGATACACGATTTTTCTCTAAAAACCATGAATATACTTTTATTCGCATTTCAAACAATATTTTCAGATACACTGAGGTCGATATCCAAACTCCTGATTATAGTGGGAGTTCTAATCCCAGGAAGATAGAGACAGCAGAGGTAATCGTACGACAAATTAATTAAGAAAAATTCTAGAATAATTTTATTTACTAAAAATACAAATCATATGTTAGTTTTTAATAAATAACGCAACTTTATAAAATATTTTGTAGGGACTTATTGAAGAGAAACAGACCAATCCTGAACGAAAAGTTATAAATATTTGTCCAGTTTGCAACAGGACACAGGTTAATTCTTGAGACTTTAACATTAAATATATATGTATTTAATGACATGTTTTATTTTATTATTTGAGTTAACGTTTTCCCAGGTACCTGTATCGCCTAGTTCCTTACATTATACTGCTCATAGAGATAAGCAAGGACGATTCTACTGTGAATATTGCGCGACTCCAAATACGATAAAGGTAAAAATCAGAGGAATATTTTACATATTATGCATAGATAGCATAATATCAATAATATATACAATATATATAAAAATATTGTTTTCAATATCCTAGGGATTATGTAAAGGCGAGCAAAAACGTTTAAAATGCACTGGATGTGGCGAGTATTTACATACGAAGAGCAGTCAGGTAAGAAGTTCAGTTTTGTTGCATGGAACTTATTTAGTAATTTACGTTACGCTTATTTTCATTTTCAGAGCACTCGAAATAAATCCGACAATTGTCCACGATGTGCTTCAATACCAAGCCCTGCACAATCAAGTGTGCCAGCATAATTTTTTCAAAAAAAAAAAAAAAAAAAAAGATAAAAACAGATAAAATGTGTTCTTAGATGATTAAGGAAAAATATTCATGTACATAAATGAAGATTGTATGTCGAACGAATTAGTAGGAAACAGCAAACAACGTAGACATAAATAAGTTCACTCATTGAAATTTGTCTATATATTGTAAATAATCATTTTATGATTCCTAGACTAGCAGGGCGTGAACATTCTTAAACTTGTCAACAACTAAAAAGTTATTAGCTTATATATAATATTCCAAAACATTATTTATTTCATTAAAAAAGTGTGAGATTGTTGATTACAAGAAAAAAGGTTTTTTTAACAATGTTATACGGTCAGCGACGATTGTAAAATATTATAATGTATCATAAAACAACATCGTATCTATCTTAACATCATTTCTAGTGTTTAGAATAAATTGTAATTTTCGCTTAGAAATTATGCTTTTCTTTGAACATTCATTGTACAATTGCATCGCAACGACATAAAGCACTTAGTTATATAAACGGAATACAATAAGCAATTATACAGAGATCGTTTAATCTCATATGAAGATCAAGATACAAAGAATCGAAGATAGAAAGAGTTTAACAATTTATTGAGCTTTGAAAAAAAGGAGCATCACTACAAGTACGATTAGAAAATAAAATTATATAAAGGTTGATTTAGATTCAGAGAATTACAATAATAAGAAATAACGATTGCCATTAGTATAGATTATTCTTTGGTATAAAACGCGTTTTACTTCACATTATTAGTATAATAGTAAATCTTGAAGTGATAATTAATCATTAGGAATTTCGGCTTATATAAAATACGAAATTTTCCATACTCCATGTTCTATATTTAAGATATAAGTTTAAAAATGAATAAGTATATATACTTAACAAACAAAACTGTGTCACACGATTCAGGACATAGATTATAAAAAAAGGCGAATCACCAAACTTTCTTTCAAATACTGATTAGCAAAACCTTTCAATTCGGCCATAACACACGTATTATAATGTCATATAACAATCTCGAATGTTAAAAATTTTGATCACAAATTTGTCCTCTTACAAATCTCTATTTACGAAGATTAGACGATTCTGTTTACGAAGACACAAATGAATCTATGAAACTCAAGATACTTTTATGAAATATTAGCATGAATTCAACTTATCTGTGTTTTCTTAACTTTATATTACAACATAACGGCACCCAACGAAGCAAAGACTACAAAATAATACTTCACAATTATATAACTTCCTGATATGATACTCGATAATCCTTACAGTTAATCTCTTGGCAAGATAAATCCTCAAAGTCTTCGAAAATGCTCTACAAACTGTGGTTTATCTTTTGCAAACATCGCGCCTTTCGGATATATAGCAGGATTCACAGCGTTTATTGGATTTTTATGTACGAATCTCCCATTAAACTTTGATATAGGATTCAAAAAAGATTCGTAATTATACTGCTGCGAATTGTTGATCATCTAATGATTGTTCGAATACTTGCAATCGTTTACAATTTTATTAGATACCCCTGAAATGTTTACAGATTCACGACGGTACACTTCCATAGGCAGAAGTTCAGGAGAGAACCAATTAAAATTTTGATTGATCATCATAGGTTTCACATCATTCAATGGAAATTGTTGCGAAAAATGTTCACGATTTGGTTCCTGACGAAATGCAGTTAACTCTTGGACATTTTGTAAATCGGATAACACATTTTGACTTGGAAATTGATCGTAGGTTGTTCCATTAATTTGTTCTGCGGTATTAATCGCAAAATTTTGATAGCAATTACTGTACTGCTGACCATTTGCAAGTTGACGATTAGATTCGTTCAAGGAGCGAGAATGCAAACGATTATTCGATACGTGGCGAACATTAGTTTCTACAGGAATGTGTTCGCTTTTATAAATACTTCTATGTTCTTGTCTGACACATTTTTTACTATCACTTTTGTTTGAAATGTTTAAGGCTTTAGAGAAATCTTTCACGAAACTATCCGTCGAATTCCAGTTATTAACAGACTGGAAATCGTTCGAAGATAGCGTTGGTAAATTAAAACTACCGTTACCGTGAAACTGACAATGACAAGAACACTCTAATCTATAATTGTTAATTAGATCAGAAGGAATATTCTTTAGATTTTTGGAAAAATCTTGAATACTACCTAAAGCATCGTTTGAACATCTTTGCAACTCGTTCCATTTAGGATTCTTCAAACGTTTTCCTTTGTTTAAATACGTTAAATATGTACTAATCGCAGGAAGAACTGCTTTCGAGTGATCCGGTTGAGCGCAATTCTGCTTGGAATGTTCGTGCGGTAAAGAATGATCTAAACTGTTTCTCAGATTTCCATTGATGTCACACGCTCCATTTGATGCGTACTTTTTCCTTGCAAGTTCCACCAACGAACAACAATTGTAACAAACCAAACTTTTTGATCGACATTTTTCTAGTTTGCATTGACTTATTGGATTATCGTGACTTTTCAACGAATTGGACGACGCAGCTTTTATGGGTCTGCCTTTGTGAACCGACGTATCGATTGATTTTTGCATTCGTTGATTGTTTATTATGTTAGATCGTTTATTGACGGCCTTCTGTTTCGCACGAACCGCGATCTTTTTAGTTTTAACTGGTTCGATAAACGTTTCTGTTATTACTATATTGCCTTCTTCGTCACATGTTCCACTTTCTTCATACTATAGTTTGTTAATAATTCAAAGACTTATTTTAAACGAGAAATCTAGAATTTCCGATAATTGAAATTTAACAAAGAGACGTCCTGTGTTTGCAAAATCACAATTTGATCAAGTTAGCATATTTGTGAAACACACGATGAACTATCGATAACCTTTGAAAAGATATATTTTCGAAACTGTTCCAATTGTAAACATGGTGTTAGCAATAGAACGCAAGAACATAGCAGAGAATAGAAAAATAATGAGTTATCTAAATTGATACCAGAAAATAGCTAAACAATACTGTGATATAAATATTATTATGAATAATATTTCTGATTACACGAAAATCATTTACGAATAGTTAACTCTAATGCCTAATGGCTACATGTTCGTATATTATTTTATTAGGAGAATATAAATTCGTTATCTTGTTTTTGTCTTAACAAGCAAAGCAAATGAGGTACCTATACATGCAGCTGCCGGTAAAATCGAAAAAAACTGATTATTTTCACATGAGGCTACAATACACAGAATAAACTGGTTATGATAATTTTGTTCGACAGTTACGAACCATCTCTGCCTTGGCCAAATAAATCCATAGTTTCCGCCATGTGCTGAACTTATATTGATCGCTGAAGTTATAGCGCATTTCCTTCGAAGCGTATCTTATTGCCAAGGGACTGCGATAGTCACAATATTCACTATTTTCGATCGTTGACGCACTCATTTTCACCGCCTTTTTTATTCGTCCAGTTAGTAATGTGAATCTCAGAAAATACTTCGTATAACACTTCGTATAATACTTCGAGAAAGAACGCGATCAGCTGATTTACTGGGCACATTTATCGTTGTGCGCTGTGCATTTTCTTTACTGAACGCCAACGCTCACAGTGCCTCTTGTGAAGGAAACATGAACTAGTTGATTTAAATGACCTTACTATAATTTGAAGTAATGTTTATTCATTTTGAATGTAATTTTAGTTTGAAAAAAGGAATTGTTCAAGATTTTTAGTACGGAAGAAGAATTTGTGTATACTGAAGTCTATAATTTGCACAAGAGTATATAAAAATAATCGGATCTTGAGTAAACATTTGGATAAATAATTAACAGTACTATTAAATTAAATTCTTCTTTCTTGAATAAATGTAAATAAAATTGAAAAATCTATAGCTAACTATAAAAGAATTTATAAAAGATTGAATCATGCTTGGTTACCATGGTTGTTATTCAATAAGCAGGGAATGATTGTCATTTTTTTCTTAAAAGCGGAAACTGAATTACAACACGATATAAATTGCAATAAAAGCTCGAATATTGCAAGGTTTTTTATTCTACTAAATCACAGTACCATTTGCAGAGACAACTTAACAAGGGAAAGTACCCACGTTCCATTTTCTCATGGGACTATAATTGACCGATGTCATTGTTCTTTTTGCGCGAAAGGAAAATCGTATTGTTACTGATGACGATTTGCAAACACTGATCTCTCTTTGCCAAATTCTTATCGTTCTTTTAATTGTCTTATGCCAATAATCATTACTTAAACGTGATGATAGCTTTCAAAATTAATTAATATCTACATAGCTTTTTTAGCTTAATTACAGAAAGCTCGTAAATTTAATAATTGTTATACGTACTACGTTAAAAGGTGTCATGTTCGCATTAGCCCATTCTATGTTGACCTCGCAATTTTTAAAAAGCATGGCCGATTCAGGCACCAATCTTCTTCTCGCCATGGCGGCACCTCGATGGGTTTTATACGAAACCAGAACATAACAAACGAAGCCGTTGAAATTTCTATAAACGGCCACTTTATCGATTTCATCGGTCATCTCGTAGATTTTCTAAAAAAAAAAAAAAAAACAAAAACAAAAATAAAAAACAAAAACAGGAAGATAAAAGGATCCACCTCCGATAGAATAAAAAAGTCGATAGAAAGCAAAACATAATAAACCAGAGGACATTAACAACGAACCTTGATAATTGTTTTAGAATCGAGATTTCGAGGCAGCTGATTAATATAAAGCCGACAATTATTTGTGCTTGCAACAACACCGATTCTTTTCCCAGGATAAATTTCATGCTGATCTAATTCTTTAACAGCACGAGCTGCCTCTTCTTCAGTGGTGTACATAATAAAACAGTAACCCCTATTTATGCCAGAAAATTCCATCATCAAGCGTAACTCATAAATCGTTCCTACAGTACTAAATATAGGAACAATTTCCGGTTCGTAATAATCTCGGGGGATACTGCCGACAAAAATCTCGCATTTTGGACCAGGAGGAGGTCCTGTCCAGCCAGGAGGTGGACCGAGCTTCCTCTGACCATTAACTTGAGTTAATGTCAACTGGGAATCGGCTACGAATTTTAATAATTTTAAATTGCTTTCCATTTGTTCCTCCCTCAAGTCTTGTACTTTGCTGTCGGTTCGTGACTGTATGGCCGGCCGTCGATTGTGTAAATATGCTGAATTTGATTAAAAACGATTGTTATAATACTTTTTTAACAATGAGAATACTCTGATATGAAATACGTGTGAGTTTGGTATGAAAAAAATATACTTACGTAACATTGAAAAACGTACTTTCTCAAAAAAAATATTAATGGAAAAAAAGTAATTATACAATTGATTTGATATTTCTGGCCTCAGACATTATATTTCCAGAACAAATGACAATTGCCAGGAGATGATAGGACTTCCAACGATAATTTTATCTTTACAATAAATAGAAGAATAAAATAAAACACGACTATAATGAAATAGAATTCATCGCACTGGTTAATCTTTGGATATAAACGACTGAATTGAAATGAAATTATCAGACAACCACAGCTGGTTATGTTATTACGGCGAACCAAAATATTCGAAAATCCTGTCGTTTTCTATAAATATCCATCAACATCACTTACCCAATTGTTGTTTTATACCGTCTTCTATGTTGATTTTATTGAAGGACTCATTTGATTGTTGAATCGTTGACACAGACACCATTGTTCCCTCTTTATTGATTTGAACGTCGTCGTTCCTATTATTAATTGACATTTGTTTTCCTTTGTTATTATTACTACTAATCACATTGTCGTTAAACCGTCATTTTGGCAAAAATTAATTCTATCTTTAATCATGACAAACACGAAGGGACAAAATTCGATCTGTTGGATATCTTTCTGAAACAGAAAATAGGTACCGACCAAAGTCGAGGGATCGATGATCAATAAACATACCACCACGGTTTAAAGAAGACTGATGCACGAGCACGCGATGCACTAAACCACGGCTGTGCTATGGGCTATGGGTTAAGTGTATGAGATCAGATGGCGCTTATTTCGGACTGGTTGCCCCCCCATTGGGTAGATTTATTTTTTATTTAATCTTTGGAGGGGAGATGATATTCGTCTCTCCCTTCATTCTGCAAATCCTTTTTCCTCTTGTCACGCGTCAACGCTTTCTTATGTTTTTCCTTTCACGACTTCTTCGATTGCATTCTAGAACATGTGGATATTTGGAGATGAATATCAATTTACATATATACATACATATATATATATAAACTTTTCAAATATTCTTCTCAATGCTTCTATTTAATTGTTTTCTTTATTAGCAATTATTTGAAGTGAAAATCCTTCTTTTTAATGGATATTTTATTACTAAATCTACTACTTACTATCTACTACTTAAATCTATTACTTACAAATTTAATTATTAAAATCTCTAGAAAATAGTATTTCTTTTAATTTTCGTTTCACAAACTTAATGTTTCTTTCTTATTGCCGTCTATGTGTATATCTTTTTGTATAAATTTTAGTTCAAATTTAACTAAAAGCAAATGTAATTAATTAAAATATTAAATGATCTGATTAGACTATGTTATATGAATCTCTACTCTTTAAAATATTATTTACCTGCTTGTATTTATCTCTCTTTAGACGGATATGAATTCATAGGAATTTTCCATACGCAGCCCCGATTACTCAAAGTATTTTAGCTTCATCGATGTTACATTGTCTTCTCGGCAACTTGTTGCCCGCTCGAGGATCGAAATCAATGAATGTCAACAGCTGGCCGTTCGGATAGAATTTCCAATACAATGTATGCGAGTCGGGATTGGAAAGAAAGAGAATGTGATTCGATTAAAACGTTTTGAAAACTTCTAGAACTTTTTATTCCATACGAGTTCCAGAAAAATTTCACTCTTCAAGAATGACTCCATTTCTGGTGAAATAAATCGTAGTTTTACAGGTGATTCATAATAATTACACGTGACTCAAGAAGAAAATTATGTTACACAAGATTACAAATGAGTAATTTATCGTACCAAAACGTCGTTGCAATTTGTTTACGGTATCCTAAGCTTCATCAACGTCGCTGTCACGTTACATTAAATGAATCATTTTGCGTTTTTCATGCATGATCATTTAGTAATTATATTAATACGTAAAGACCAAACTCAAACCGCCTCGATAACAACTTCGATAACTACTTCTTTCTAAACATTGTCCGTTTTATCCATCTCAAACTTTTTAACGTTGGGTACATTCAAAATCTCTGAACAAAATTCGCGGTTACTTATCAATATTTTTGCTTTGTTACTCATTATAATATTCGTATATTGAAACGAGAATATTTAATTAATTTTATCAATTATAATAGACAGCAAATAAATAAGGACTGCATTCAAAGAAACGAACGTTCTCTGAAATTTTCCCTATCTTCGCCGGTCGTTGTAACCTTATCGAACCGGTTCAAGGTATTAGCGGTTCGTTAACCATTTCCATGGTATTTATTGCGAAAATTCACACCGTACTGCGCCAATGCACCGTACGATAATAGCATTGTTACCTGCAGTACGCAGACCTTATTACGTGACACTACGTAGCCCGTGCAACTTGAACCACGATCCTCTCTATCTCTTCAGTTGTCGTTCGACGCGCGCCGCGGTTCGTCTTGTAACCCCATCGCTCGAATTTCACTAACGAGTAAGATAACGCGACCCCCCACATGCCCGTTTTACCGATTATTATATTAGTACAGTTGATCACGAACTAACTGCTGGGATAGATTTAATCATTCGCTTCTTTTAAATTCTTAAATTCGTACCTTTTTTTTTTAATTTTACAGATGCAGATAGATTTTATATTTAATAATTTTTAATTTATGATTTAATTTATGATTGTATTCCTTTTCTTGATAGTATACCATTTGTGCAATTCTTCTGAGTCTACTGAATGTGAAATGAACTATTTTTATGCGGGTTGTGATAAGTGAAATTGTATGATGAAGCTTTCTACTCGACGTTGTCCCAAATTCTTCATAACAGTTTGAAAATTTAAATACGTTAAAAATGGTTGAATGAACATTGTAAAATTGGAAATTGTTGATAAACAAAGTTAAATATGTGGAATCGCAAGGTATTCATCAGGATTATCGAAGTGGTGCGTAACAATGGAAAAGTTGTATATTTATTTTTGTACATATATTTGTTTTGATATTGTAAGCTACTTTAGTTACATATTTATACATGATAGTGAACGTTAATGTTTAAACAAAAATTCTAGCACAATTTACATTTCAATTATATATTACTAGTTGCTCTTATATCAGTGTTCTCACAATACGAGATAAGGATTCCTTTGAATACTCCCACAATCAATTATTTGTAATTATTCCTGCGAACGGAACTGAACGCTAGATAATTGGATTTTAATTCATTCCTTCTTATTAAATTTTGCAACTATGAACATTCGTGTTGCAGATGCTTTGCCTTGCCTGCGTGGTGGCACTCAGGGTAACTGATGATGAAAGCCGAAGAGTGTTTCATTATTTGAGAAGTCGTAGCAGAGAATGGTCCCTCTTGAATAACGTCACATGGGGCGCCATAGGTTCAAAAATTAATATCTATTACTTTATAGTTTTCCTTTTACAAGAGCAAAATTGACCCAAAAGGCCTACTAATTTTTATTACTTTCTTGAAACGTTTATCTCTATAGTTTGTATTACGCCATAAATTAGGAGAAGAATATTTTTGTATTGCTATCAGTTAGTTTTTCTATCTTTCAGAGTTACAATAAAAATTCTGCAAGCTGTCTAGCAAACATTTATCAAAAATATTTCGTTACATAAATACTTTTAAGATTGTGGTCGGATAGTGCATTATTCTATGTAGATTAATTTAAATGGAAATTTATTTTATGCTTTATAGTAATTGATGTATAAGTACTATAGTATATGTTGGAAAAAGGAATGTAAAACACGCAACAACACACTTTTCTTTTGTTAATCTAGGCGCCGCTCTTGCAACCGCGACTTGTGGTGGTTACATAATAATCACGACGGGTCTTCTTATTGCTGCTGCGACAGGAGAGCTAGATGGTCGAAAGACGGTAATTCTTTCCGTTTTTTTGTAACTTTTTTTCTTTAAACAGTATATGTCTATGACACGACGAAAAATTCGATGTATATTTCCCGAACTTTTAATTCACTTCTTCCTTGACAATTGTACAAGTCGACATATTTCCATAATAGTCGCATTGTTTGGACTTTTCAAGGTATTCTTTCTCTTTTACGGAACACTGTCCTTCGACGAGGCTGATTTTATCGTACATTGATGTATCTTTCTTCTTAACCAACACCCTGAATGCATAAATTTAAATGTTTCTTAAAAGAAACAATAATTGTAATTGAATTAACTACTGGAAAAAATGCGGGATCTTAAATTGCTATTGGATATAGTTAATGATTAGAATCGATGGAATATCATAGAAATTTTCTTACACTAAGTGCGTAAAAGAATATTCGTTAAAATTTATTTGTAAGGTCAGGAATACGAGGAATTAACTTCGACAAGTTTCACCAGTAAAAGTGACATGAAACAGATAAAAATTGAAATTACTAGACTCCATGACTGATTCATTAACGAATTATATTAGTAACTGATCGTGGTGTTACCTTTTACTTATCCTCGAATTACGAAAGTTACACGATTATCAGTACCTCAATAAGTTTTACAAAAATATAAAACATTTTCTGCATGATTTTCGGTAGCCGTTTTAAATGCACCAAGATAAATACACGAAATACTTTCGCAATTAATACCAACGATGGAGACTATAATAAATTCTCAAAGCAACATATTCAAGACTCTCACGATATTAATCTTCAGCATGAATGCATTTTCAATATCTTTCCTGATTGCAAATATTTTCCGGCGGACACACCTCGTTCATTAGTCAATCGTCATTGCATTCGAAGTTACGATGTACCGATCTGTGTTAGCAGAGCTCTTTTTACAAGGTTGCTTTTTTTCATGCTTCTTTCAAGTTATGCAGATGGACTCTTGAAACGACAAATCCGTTAAATATAGAGCACGTGTTTTAACGATAGCGTGAGAACTGTCGTGTCCAGTTAGCACTGTCATTGAGGGGCAAGATTAAAAGTATCCTTCGTATGAGCAAGCTACAAGAAGGAGCACGTAACAATATCCTTACCTTGGTGTATGGCAATTGAGCACGTAATACGTACGCTACTGTGACTTAGTTCTTAGTTAATGACTCATAACTGAGGCTAGGCAGATCGCAATGATTTCCACATGCGGATCTACGCGTTCATCAAGACAGAAATTTGCATTTAAAATAAATTGTTGATATTCTTAATTCTGAGCTGAAATTCTTAGCTGTTTGCTCGTAGATGACATAAACGATGATTTTTATAGAAATATTTCACTGAAAGGCGGTACAATCGCTATTGTAAAGAAATCTTGAAAAGAAATACGAATTATCGAATTGTTAATGGTCGTAAACGTGTGAAGGTTGTTTCACTTTTATACTTGAATTTTATGAGACAATAGGGGATATGAAAGGTCCCGAGGATTTTAATGAAGATTATGTTAAACAGAGGAAGTCATTAACATTTCATTGTTCTGCTTGATGAGTGTACGAAGATCTTTCTTTTCTATTTAAGGAAATATTCTTCCTTGGACTTGGAGTGATTCTTTTCGGTATCGTCGGCGCTTTATCGTTGGCGTCTATTGAAAACGTCCCTGAGGATTTGATAGACAACGCCGCTGTTTTTGGGGCACTGTGCTTGCTAACAGCGTTAGTTTTCATCGCTGATTTGTTAATGAGCACGCCAAAGAAAAAGAACAAGCATGGCATGACAGAACTTCTGACTGATAAAGGAGGTATTATACATTTTTGTTAAGATATAAAAGGAAGTGTTAAATATAAATTAAGGAGACAATATATAAATTAACAATATATA